GGCTGCTCAGCTCGGGCTGACTCGAACCACTGTTGCTCAGAGCTCAAACTCTTGAGCGAGCTCTTAACCAACTGAGCCACTCAGCCGGCCCCAATCATTTTATCTTTGAATTTGCGTTTTGTAAGTGAAGTACAGTGGGATAATAGAGTGTGCACCCTGGGCTTGGAGCCTCAGCTCACATGTGGGCCCACTTCCTGGAGCCTTCTCATTTTCTAGGGATGGGTCCTGGAGAGTCGCTGGGTCTACAATCTGCTGATGCCAGACTCCGCCTCTCCCTCCCCTCTCTCCAAAGCTGGCAGCACCAATATGTATTCCACAAGGGGCTTGATGCCCACTTCCATCCGGTCTCCAGGTACATAACACATCCTAGGGTATTGCCGTACCTTGCATGTTCCAGTATATGCATCAAGTTCCAGAGCAGATCCTTGGGCACCTATGAGGGCCTGCACAGGCCCCAGCAAATGTCCTCACCTGAGGAAGCATGATGTCAAATAGCAAATGAAAAAAATACAATGAAAGGTCAAGAGACAGATTGCAGAAGAATGGAAATAGCTTAACATTTTAGCACCTTTAACGGCATCTTTTTCCTGATCTTTGTAAAAAGGACCCCACACTTTCATTTTACACTGGGCCCTGAAAATTATTTATGCACCTGTCCATAGGTGTTCTCCTCCCCCCCCCCACCTCCTTCCCCCTTCCTTTCAATTTACATGCTGTTGAAGGAATTAAGTCACAGGCTGGCCCAGTGGCACGTTGCTTGAGAGTTGGCTTGGGATGCCAACTCTGAGCAGCAGGGCTCTGGTTCAGATTCCACATTAGGGCTAGTGACACTGAGCCCTCTACAGCTAAGATGGTGAATAACAGTTCAACCTGGAGCTGGGCTGCTGTAAGTCACAGGCGACGGCGTAGGCTGGAGTGGAGCTGCAGTGGGCTCCCATAAGCTACTGTGAGCGGTGGCAGCCGGCACGAGCTGCCAAGAGCTGCCGTGAGCGGCCATCCAGTGGCCGGCGACCGATCTGCCTCACCCAGGAAGAGTGCAATGATAATACCAACATGGGCCAGTGAAGCAACATCCTCCACAACTAGACTGAAGAACAAAAGGACAGTAACTTGTCTGTTCCCCTTCCCCGATTCCCCAATAAAATCTTAAAAAAAAAAAAAGAAAAGAAATTAAGTCCCCCTGTAGATGCCAACTGCATCCCGGTGGTTATTTCACATGTCTCTCTATCCCCTATATTTCATAAATTAGTAGTTAGATGTGAAGACTTGATTAGAATTTTGTTCTGTATTTTCTTTTTTTTTAAATTATTTTTTTATTTCTCAATTGCAGTTGACATTCAATATTGTATTAGTTTCAGGTGTACAGCATAGCAGTTAGACATTTATATAACTTACAAAATGATCCCCCCATAAGTCTACTACCCACCTGGCACCATATGTAGTGATTACAATATTATTGACTATATTCCTTATGTTGTACTTTACATGCACCCCGATGACTATTTTGTAACTACCAATTTGTGCTACTCAACCCCTTCACCTTTTTCACCCAGCCCCCTAGATTTTTTTAAAGAATTCTTTACAATTTTTAAGAATACTTCATATTTTTTCATTTTAATAATACTTTATAATTTTAAAGGAAGTTTCATAATTTTTAATGCTGTATAATTTTTTTAAAGAATTTATTGGGGAATTGGGGAAGGGAACAGTGTTGGGGAATTGGGGAAGGGAACATTGTGTTTTTCCAGGACCCATCAGCTCCAAGTCAAGTTGTGTCCTTCAATCTTAGTTGTGAAGGGTGCAGCTCAGCTCCAAGTCCAGTTGCCGGTTTGTTTGTTTTTTCAATTTAGTTGCAGGGGGCGCAGCCCACCATCCCATGCGGGAGTCGAACCGGCAACCTTGTTGTTAAGAGCACGTGCTCTCACCAGCTGAGCCACCTGGCCACCTGCTGGCAGCTGAGCTCGGGCGCAGCTCACTGGCCCATGTGGGAATCGAACTGGCGACAGCGTTGCTCAGAGCTCACGCTCTAACCAACTGCACCACCCAGCCAGCCCAATGCTGTATAATTTTTAAACCTAGCAATTTTCTAACCCAGTTTCTAGGCAGTGCTTTCAAAGCCCTCCCTGAAGTCAATGCCTGACAGTCTTAGGATGGAGCAGCGGGCTGGGAACTATGGTAGTATATTCTAAAAGAGGCAAGATCCTTCCTATACCTGAGAAGAGAATGTTATTGGAAGAAAACACTCAGAATGCACTTACTTGGTTTCTAGGGGTGGTAAACACAGAGATGCACTTTCCAGATCCCTTTTCAAGCAAGGGCTTGCTGTCCAACAATGGGCATTGTGGTCAGCAGCACCCTCCAGCTGTCAAGCAGGGTCTGGCTCAGCTGCTGAGAACCACTGTACTTAGGTCACGACTCTCTGGGACAACCCACATCTGGTGACTAAGCAAAGTGGGGTTATAAAGAGGGTTGATCATTTGGTCCAACATGGGATACTCTGACAGGCAATGATTGTTCCAGAGCTCCTGGCAGGGCTGACTGATGTTTAGTTGGGCCTGCAATGTATTTAACTTCTTCTGCCTAATACTGCTTTCTCCCCCTCCTTTCATAAGACTTGATCCCTAATAAATATCTTGCACCCTAAATTCAGTCTCAGTAAATGCTTCCAGAGAAGCCAGCCCATGAACTAGGTGATATTATCCCATATATTCTACTATCTACTACTATAAGTGCATTACTCCTAAAATACAACCTATTCCAAACACTCTTCTGAACTTGTTTAACTTCCCACTACACTGTTCCACCTTAATATTCTATGGGCATCTTAAAATTAGTCTTTCCGAAACTGACTCTTTCCCCCACAAACTTGCTCCTTACTTTTATCTGTCTTTTGATGAATGATACCACTATTCACTAAGTCCCCATCTTCACAACTTTCTTACCTCTTGTATTATCTATTGCTATGTAAACAAATTATCCCCAAATCATCGTAGTTTAAAACAATAAACATTTATGATCTCACAGTTTCTATGGGTTAGGAATTCAGGAGGGTTTATCTAGGTGGAAATTGGAAGAGTAAGGAACATGGTCTGCCCCCAGAGCCTCTGGAGGGAGCACAGATACCTTGACTCCAGTCCAGCGAGGCTGATTTCAGACTTCTGGCCTCCACAATTGAAACAGAATACATTTCTGATGTTTTAAGCTATCAAATTTGTGATAATTTGGTACAGCAATCATGGGAAATTAATACAGAAGGTGAAGTATGTATAAAATGTGAAGAAGCAGTGAAGAGAAGAATGCCCTGTTCTCAGGAGATATATTGAGTTGAGAAGAGTGCCAACTTTGGTTCAGAATCGCTTCATAAATCAGTAAGAGAATGGAGTCCAGTCCAGCTGAGCCTTTTGCCTATAAAAGAGAATGTAAGGATAAAGTCAGCAAAAATTTATGGATGGTGTTGGAAACTTGTGCTTTATGACACAATGCAAAATGGTTTTATGTTTCTGTATAACTGCTTCTTATTCTAAGAATGTTTGAGCACAATTTCAGGTGTGATATACACAATGTGTTGCAAAGAACCATGAAATGCCAGCTCAAGAATGCCCTCCACAAAAGAATAAAAAGACTGAAATCCTTAATACCCACCTTCCTGTTTTATCTCCACAGAGCTAGTCAAGCGAAATACAATTTTGAAGACCAATAAAGCAAAATTTTTCTAAAAATTTTTCTAAAATGCTTGGGAAGTCTATAAATTCTGGGTCTCTGTGGAGCAAACAGGACCAATTCTGCAGGTAAATCTTGCCTCCACCCTCTACTCATATCCAGCCTGACTCAGAGCTTATAGAAGACAGGACTATAGAGGGAAAGAAAAAAAAATTTTTTTTAATGATCAAACATTTGTTTAATCAGCAGTGATTTAAAACAAAGAGATTGCATGAATGTCAGGGTTGATTACCTTCATCGAGCCATGAAAGCCTGAGGAATTTATCTGCCTATAGTCTATTTAGACAACATCTTCCCAAAGTATACCAGGTATTCTCAACAGCTGTTCAGATTTGGTCAGGCTGTCAGATCTCTCCCTGTTGCTTTGCTTTTCAGTTCTATCTAGATCTCTGCTAACTCATTCTTAAGACTGGTTCCAGCAAATTGTACAGCTTTCTTAACATTAATCAGCCACCGTATTGGATTTTCCAAATCTCTTCAACCACCTACTTAGTTTTTAGGGTAAGCAGCTTATAGAGATAGCATAAATCAATCATTACATTTGTTTCCTAGTATTGCCTCTTGCTATTCCTCATTCATGGTATGCTGAAGTATATCTAGCATTACAGAAGTCTCAAGAGATTGAGGCGTTGACCTTCGGATGGGTCTGGTCGGAGCTCTCTTTTCCAGGACCCCAGGAAAGGGCTTTGCCCTTCTTCTGTGCAACCGCCAGCCCTAAGCTCCAATAGGAAACAGCCCCACAGTCTAGCTCTTCCCCATCGGCAGTCGTCATTTTTGCAGCACTAAGGCGCTTACAGTGCTTACGTAATAGGGATTTTGTAAATTGAATGAATTAATGTATGTAAATGCTTTAGCCTAAGTCCTGGCACAGAGAAAGCACTCCATGAACTCTATAACTATAATTAAAGTAACGCGCCATCACGCACAAGTCAACTCGTACCGCTTGGGAGCCAGTTCAGATGTCATTTTTTTTTTTTTTTGCAAACGGTGAAACTAATAAAATTTAATGTTGTTGATTGAGGAAATGGGCCCACACGGAGGGCACAAATGTGATTTTAAGTTCTACCTGCGGGGTATTCGTCTGTGGGTCACTAAACTATAAGAGGGAGAATTCACATTCCTGCAGCAGGATGATGGCTCTAGGACATTTGACTGTAGGAGAGAATGACTCCGAAACCAACCTCCTGTCTGCCTGCGTGACTGTCACCTCCCTCTCAACCCCAGAGCCTCCGCCAACACTTGCAGAATTACTCGGGAGGAAGGCGGCCGCCGCTAAAACCTATGTAGACAAATCGCCTGGTTGTTGTGACGTCATCACCGAGCGCCCGGGTTAGAGAAGGGAATTGGGGGAGGAGATTGGCTCCCCTTGACCGTATAAGGCCTCTACCCATGATCCTCTCCTCTTCACCATTTTTCCTTCTTTCGGGCGGCCGCAGCCATGAAGTAAGCAGGCACCCTGCATCCCAATCCGCTTCCATCTTCGGGCCGATCTCCTCTCGGGCGTCCCGCGTATGGCTTTTTGCCATAGACACCCTTCCTAATGGGCATTCGCTTTTCGTTACAGGGTCGAGCTGTGCAGTTTCAGTGGGTACAAGATCTACCCCGGACACGGGAGGCGCTACGCCAGGACCGACGGGAAGGTGAAAGGCCGTGTCGGCTATACGCGATTTTTACTCTTAACAGGAAAAACCGGTTTAATTCGGTCTAGGCGGTTTCATTTAACACATCATTCGTGGTCCCTGAAAGGCTTGCTTCGGGGACCCTGTGTGTAGTGGTTGTAGGGATCAGAAACATCTAAGTGAACCATTCTTGAGCTTTGATGTAGTGTGAGTCAGGTCGAAAATTAATGTCCCGGAGTGAGGGAAATGGGCCATCGAAGTGTCTGGGTGTTTTATGGACACCAGGTCCTCTTGGAATCCCGGAAGGGACAGGAACTAGCTGCCTCCCGGAATTTGACATCCCACCCTCCTGTGACATGAGTTGAACTTTGCGTGCTCTTGAGGAAAGACAGGCCCAAATGCAAAGATCTTGGAGGTGCCACCCAGTTAACTGACAGTTGTGTGACACAAGCTGTTTGGTCTCTGAGCCTCGATTTTGTAAAATGACAGGATAGAACAAGAATATTAATTAGCCAAGGATTTCAAGCTCAGCCTTTTCTACTTTGTATAGTTGAGTAGGTAACTTCTATACTTTGAATTTGTCTCGACAGGTTTTCCAATTTCTTAATGCAAAATGCGAGTCGGCATTCCTTTCCAAGAGGAATCCTCGACAGATAAACTGGACTGTCCTCTACAGAAGAAAGCACAAAAAAGGACAGTCGGTAAGTGAAATGCACTTCGATGTTGTGGGCTATCTCTTAACTTGTTTAAACTCTGACCATTGGTTGCTGCTCTGTAAAATTGTAACTAAATGAAATAGTATGTGAATGTGCTCCTAAACTGCAAAGCTTCAGTGAAGTGAAAATGATTGATATTAACCGTGACTCCTTATACATCTTATTAGGCTTAAAGTAAATACCAAGTTGAAATTTGAAAGCATCCCTTTGCCCAAGTCAGATAAATTACATGAAGCATACTTGGGTTATAGGGCACCATGGAATTGTTTAAGGTGTTACAGTGGGTGGGAACTTGGTTTTGATTATTATGTTTATAGGATTAGTCCTAATACAGATATCAGTGGAATCTTCCAGCATACTAGTTTGTTCTCAAGAAGACTGTGTGTGTTTTTGAATGCTTTTTTAGCTCGATGGAAATTTTCGAGAAAAGGTTTAAGTGCCAAGGCAGTAGGGTTAGTATCCAGGAGGCTTGGAGTGTTTAGACTCTTGAATGAAAGACATTACTAGGTATTGTGGGAGTTCAGAGGAAGGAGAAATGTGGGTTTGACACATCCAATAGGGTAGCTGTTATCAAAAAAGGAAAATTACAAATGTTGGTGAAGATGTGGAGAAATTGGAACCTTTGTGCATTGCTGCATGTTAATATGGTACAGGTATTGTGGAAAAGAGTTTGGCAGTTTCTCAGAAAGTTAAAGAATTAAAGAAAGTTAAGAATTATTGTATGACCCAGTAATTCCATTTCTAAGTACCTAACCTAAGAGAATTGTAAGCAGGAACTTGCACAGATAACTTGTACACTGATGTTCATAACACTTATTCACAATCGCCAAAAGGTGGAAACTATCCAAATGTCCCATTAGTGGAAGAGAGGATAACAAAATGGGATATATAAATAGCATGTTATTCAGCCTTAAAAAGCTGACAGCCAGCCAGCATGGATGAACCTTTAAGACACTAAATGAAATAGTATCTTAAGATGCTAAATGAAATAAGCCAGACACAAAAGAACAAATATTGTATGATTCCACTTTTATGAGGTACCTAAAGCAGGCAAATTCATAAGACAAAAAGTAGAGGTTACTAGTGGTGGGTTGGGGGAGGAAGAGATGGGGAGCTATTTTTTGTTTGTTTGTTTTTTAAGATTTTATTGGGGAATCGGGGGAAGGGGAACAGACAAGTTGCTATTGTTTTGTTCTTCAGTCTAGTTGTGGAGGACATTGCTTCACTGGCCCATGTTGGTATTATCGTTGCGCTCTTCCCGGATGAGGCAGATCGGTCGCCGGCCTCTGGACGGCAGCTCACACCAGCTGCCGGCCACACATGGTAGCTTATGGCAGCCTACGCCGTCGCCGGCCACTCATGGCAGCCCAGCTTGGGGAGCTATTATTTAATGGATGCAGAGTTAGAGATGATGAAAACTTTCTGGAGATGGATAGTGGTGGTTATTGCACATAATTGTGTGTGTGTTTAATAAGACCGTTGAATTATAAACTTAAAAATGCTTTAAATGGTAAAGTTAATGTTATGTATGTTTTATCACAATAAAGAATATTTTAAAAATGGATTTGAAAAAAGAAAAAATATAAACAAGTAAATAGTCACATTTTCTACAATCAGATTTCATCCTGGTAAAAAGTTTAAAGTAAAACCACTTTAAAGTGCATTTTAAACGAGCATTTTAGTTAAACACAGACGTGCCCTATTTTCTCCATATATTCTGGTGAAAATTTTAAAGATATTAGGCAGTTCTTCAAGTATATTTTAATTTTTCTTGGACTAAGCGGTGTGCTGAAAGATATTTTTCCTCATAAGCACTGTAGTATAGGTGTCCAATATAAAATCTTCAGCAAACATTTGAATTGTGCTGTCTTGATTCCCTGACGCTTGGTGGCTTTCCTGTCATATGTGATTTTCTAACTTGATTATTTCTCCCAGTGACCGTACTCTGAGTAAAAACAAACAAAATAGGTGAGTTGAGGTTTGATCATTCTTTTCCAAAAGTACCGTATTTGCCGGCGTATAAGACGATTTTTTGGCCCTGAAAAATATGCCTCCAAGTGGGGGGTCGTCTTATACGCCAGGTACACTTCAGATAGACTGCCCATAGTGCTTGCCCCGTGCCATAGTGGCCTCCCGATGCCCGCCCACTTCATTCCACATACTGTTCAGGCATCAGCAGCGCTGCTGGGTGTATGCTCGGCTGTTATGCGATTTTGCTGTTATGCGATTTTACCACACTCGCAAAATTGCACACAGCCGACCATATAACAAACTCTGTATTTTGAGTGGAAATGTTAGGGGGTCGTCTTATACGCCGAGTCGTCTTATACACCGGCAAATACGGTAAATTCTTTAAATGGTCTAAGATCACTTTTAAAGTACTATCCAGTTAGCTTCCTCAGAATTTGACCTTTTGTCTCTTTAAAGTAGTAAAAAATGGCCAGGATTTATAACAGATGGTTTAAACAATCCATAATAAAAAGGCCCAAGAGAGGGCTCCCCTGTTCCCTTATGTGATGCTATAACTACAGCTGGAAAAGTACTGGCACCTGATAGTACTGGTACCCTGACTTCCACCCTCCAGAACATGAGAAATCAATTTCCGTTGTTTATGTGCCTCTTAGTCTGGTATTTTGTTACAGTAGCCCAAATGGATTAGGACAAATACTAATCTTAAAAGACTTCATATCCCCTGCCTTAAACACTTACTCATTACCCAAATTCATGAAGCAAGGTTCATTAGTGTGCTCCCCATCTTTTTGTTTTGTAGGAAGAAATTCAAAAGAAAAGAACCCGCCGTGCAGTCAAATTCCAGAGGGCCATCACTGGTGCGTCTCTTGCTGATATAATGGCCAAGAGGAATCAGAAACCTGAAGTTAGGAAGGCTCAACGAGAACAAGCTATCAGGTGAGGAAGCCTTCATTGTGAGCGTTATTTAGGTTTAATAAGTTTATAATACAGTCTAAATGATTTGTTGAAATTTCTATATGCAATTAAAATGATTGTGCATTTCTGTATGTTACACTGACTTGGTGGTTAATGACATTTATTGACAAACCCTTTGGATTTATCCTAAAAATAATTGGAGATCAGGAAGGAATATGATAATTCTATTTTTCCAAAACACTCTAGTTCCCTGTTAATAAGCTGTACCCTTAAGGAGTAAAGTGCTTTGCCTTAAGTTATTTTTAATCCCACAGGGCTGCCAAGGAAGCAAAAAAGGCTAAGCAAGCATCTAAAAAGACAGCAATGGCTGCTGCTAAGGTAATTGTGGGATTGGCTTGAATTTCTTGTTTCAAACAACAGGAAAGTCTTTTTTTTTTTTTTAATCCAAATTGTGGTAAATGAAAGTTTCAAGTTTTTAAAGAATTTGGTGCAAGTCTCTAATGCCGCAGTTCTCAACCTTCCTAATGCCGCGACCCCTTAATACAGTTGCTCATGTTGTGGTGACCCCCAACCATAAAATTATTTTCGTTGCTACTCTATAACTGTAATTTTGCTACTGTTATGAATTGTAATGTAAATATCTTTTTGTTTTTCGATGGTCTTAGGCGACCCCTGTGAAAGGGTCGTTTAACCCCCAAAGGGGTCACAACCCACAGGTTGAGAACCGCTGCTCTCATGGAAATAATGTTCATAACTGGTTTCTGCGTGTTTTGTTTCTTAAAGTTTATTTTGAAATAATTTGTTATGTCTCCTTAGCTCATCAAGTCTATGACAGTACCTTTGTCTTTCATTTATATTTCATATAAATGTGGACTTGTAACTTTTGGGGAGGGTTCTTAAGATTAATATTAGGAATGCCATTAAATAGAAAAGCAGTCTAGGGTACATGCAGAATTTGGACATAAGGGAGGGGTAGCTGGTTAGAAAAGAAAGTTGCATGGGATAATACCACATAACATGTTATCTTTTTACAGGCTCCCACAAAGGCAGCACCTAAGCAAAAGATTGTGAAGCCTGTGAAGGTTTCTGCTCCCCGAGTTGGTGGAAAACGTTAAGTTGGCAGATGAAAATTTAAAATAAAGATCTGACTATAACTAGATTGTGGCAGAATTTTGTAAGAGTACATTTTCTGGAGTAAGACCTCCTAATGTAAGCCTCTTAGGTGGAGAGATGTTACACAAAATGATGTCAGCAAGATCTGTATGGTTAAATGCAAGTTTTGCTCACCTCAGATGTAAGGGCATGTTACACAGACTACACTGTCTTTAACTTTTTGGTTATAGCTGTAAGTACTAGGGTGCTGTGTAGATTTAGTCTAGGTTGATTGCTAAAGAGGCACTTTTCCCTATGATTTGCAGAAAGTAAATCTTTTTAATGAATTATTTTCTTAAATTATTCTTTTCCATAAGTAGACACATTTATTTTATATTGGGTTTGCCTTTTGTTTGCTTTTATCTCAACCTCTTATTATTAGCTAATAGCTGAGTTATAAGTGCTTAAAACTATCAACCGTATTAATCTGCTCTTGATTTCAGATAAGTTGAAGAGCACAACTTCTTGAGTAGAATGTACTTAGAAATTCCCAAAGCAGTTTGTTGAGCTGGGAGTTTGACAGAGCCATAGTTTAAATTGAAAAAAATGCCTGAGTAGCCTGCTAATTTTCAAGAGGTATATGTATATAAAATGTGATATGGAAAATAGTAATCATAATTTATGTTAAGAATAGGCTTGACTTCTACAGAAAGTAGATCATTACCACATGCAGGGATACAACAGCACCAAATTGTAAGGCTACAACAGCGAACAAGCCACATCCTCTTGAGAAACATGCTTTTTTACATATAGGAATATTAGCTGAAGGCAAAATCGGACATCAACATTTCCCCCCACCTCTATTCTATCCGAGGGAATGAAATTGATCTATTCTTTCTAGTGCATGTTAAATACAGGCGTTGTTCTAGGTGTTGGGAGTCACAAATCAATGAAACAGTCGCTTCGGGGAGACTTAAGCTAAGAAGATATGTAAAATCAACATAAATATGCAAGACATACTGATTAGTTTTTGCTTAGAAATACTAAGATTTTGCTTGAAAAAAATATTGTAAGGTGTTCTTTATGAAAATAAAGGGAAAATTAGATTTATTGGCTGTGAACAGGGAAAGGTAAAAACCAATCAAAATACCCAACTTGAATACAGAGCTACAGAGTCTACTTTTTGAAGACAATAAAAAGTCTCCTTAAAGCACTACTTTTCTAGTCTAAAGGTCTTAATAAAGGAGAACTGCCGGTTCTGATTACCCATAAATTCTGGGTAGCCTGCAATCCAAAAAGAGCTAGAAAAAAACTATCCCAGATAGTCCCACTCACATTTGTGGAGACAGAGGCTCCCCCAGTTCCTGTGGCTTGTCCAGATTTCCTCAGGTGATCCCATTGCTTTGCTATTTTCTTAGCATAAAAACGGGAAGAAATCACAAAGGAAAAGATAGATTCAACCTCAAAAAAATTGTAGTTTCTATATGCCAAAAAATATTTTACACAAAGTTAAAATGCATATTACAAACTCATGTCAACTATCACAATGTTAATTGGCTTATATATAAAGAACTCAAAAATGATTAAGATTGTCCCAATAAAAGTTAGCCAAGAATATAAATTGATAATTCAGAGGACAAATAGAAATAAATATGCATTAAATGTAAATTTTTCACTGAAAAAAATTTAAAAATGGGATACCAAAATTTAATTGAATAGCAAAAAAATTATTTTTAATGTCACTGCTCATGCACGTTTATTTTTATTTACATCTGTTGGAGTCCTGGCCTGTACTTCATTTTATACTATATTAACTTTTGTCCTCTCATTGTAAGTTTTCCAGGAATGTTATTTTAATGGCTGTGTCATACCTGACCCATGAAGAAAGGTGGTATTGACCCAGCAATCCCTTGTCGAAATTTTGTTCATACCATTTCCACCACTGACATACCATTGCCCTGAACTTCATGTATGTGGATATTTGCTGCATTTTGGATGGCTTCCTTAGATTCCTAGAAGTGTAATTGCTGGATTAATAGGCATGAAAAATAGGTTTTCTAATCATTTCCAAATTACTTTCAGGAAAAACTCAACAGCACCACCCCCACCAGCCTTTCTCATTGCTATGCTGGCAACATTATTCTTTTTTTCTAATTATTTTCAAAAACTTAATTACTTTTTGAGTAGATGATGCATGACACACATAGGTTACAAACCACAAACTCCCAAAGGGTAAGTGGTGAAAAGTCAGTCTCCCCAATACCAGTTCCCTCCCCAGAGAGAATGTAACTCTTCCTGTGACCTGGTCACCTCCATCTGGCTTGTATGTTTGATCAGCCTTTACAAGGACTTTGCTTGCTTGCTTCTTTGGGGGTGGGGGTGGTTACATCTTTTTCTACAACATTTATAGGAGCTTTCTCTTTTTATTGTAAAATACACGACATAAAATTTGCCATCTTAACCATTGTCAAGTGAATAGTGGTATGATGTGCACTCACATTGTTGTGCATCCATCTCCAGGACTGCCATCTTCCCAAACTGAAACTGTCCCCATTAAACAACTCCCACCCCAGCTCCTGGCACCCACCATTTGCTTTCTTTGCTGGGAATTTAAGGACCCCATGTGAAAGCACTTCTAGGTCTTGCTGTGTTCTTTTTAATGCCTCATTGTTTTCCGTGTTTATTTCTGTCTACCTAACCTGCTGTCACCACCACCCAGGAGAACCTGTGGGATCGATTCCTGGGGGTGGACTCTGAGGAGCAGGTCCTGACCACTGTGGGCCCTGCTGACTGCCCTAGGAGGGTGTGATAACAGCTGTTCCCTAACGGTGGGGGTGGCACCCCACCTTGACTTTGCACCGTGTTTTCAGCCCTCTAGTGGCCTCCAGTGCCCGTATCTGGAGACTGCTGCCCTATGGCCCTGGCCAGCAACCCCCTCCCGACCTGTTTCTCTTCCAGACACCCACTAGAAGCAGACATTCATTTTGGAGGTTCTACCTGGGTGCCTCAAGTATTGGAAGTTGCATGGTGGTGGGTGTCTATGTGCAGGACGGCTGGCTCTGCCTGTGGGTCTACTAGAACCTCTTCCCAGGGAAGGTGCCTGTCCCAGCTGGCCAAGTTAAGGCCACCTCCATCCCCACCAAAACAGGACGAGTGGGTGACCAGCGCGCCATCGCCGGGGGCGCAGGACTACACCAAGAGCAGAAAAACAACAGGAGCGCCATCTTTGTTCAGTGTGGCCTTGGGCCTGCGCCTGGGTTTTATAGCCACGCCGATCTTCACACCGCCTTCTCCTGACGTCACCTTGCGTCCCACTCGCGTCCCTCCTGACCTACTTGCCAGGAGGCTCTTTTCCCGGCGCTCCTGAGCCACCTTTTCGTACGCCCTTCCCTATACCCTTCCTCCGGTGCCCACGCCCGTCCTTGCCCCTTGTAGCGCCTGGCTCCCTCTCCCCCAACGCGGAGCCTTCATTACACAGATGGAGCAAGGGGAAAGGGGTGGGAAACGAGAGTAGGTAGGGGTTTCGGCGGTAATACTGCAGCCCAGGATCTTCATGCTGCAGCTGTTCCCTTTGCTGCCATCTGATAGTTGTGAGCACAGGACTTCAGGGAAACATCTGCTGCAGGTGGCCTAGGGTAAGGGCAGAGGTGAGGCTCCAAGAGGAAGGATGATTACACGGAAGATTCTGGGAAACAGGAAGATGGAAGTGCTGTCAGACTTAGTAGCTAGCACCCCCTCGTCCCTCCTAGGCTGTTGTCTGTCTCCTCACTGCCGTCATTATGGAAGATTTTAGTCCCTCCTGCTGCTGGCACCACTACATCTGTTCTCACAGGACAGTTTAACTTTTCCGCGGAAGACAATTGGACCACCTGTAAAACATTTTATTAAAACGTGTCTCTGTATTGGCCCAAAGGCACAGAGGAGAATCCAAGTATTAGTGAGCTTCCTTCTCAGTGCTTTAACGGGTTGTGTTTTGGCAGAAACTGTATTGGGTGTAGGGGGATTTCTTTAACTTTTCTTTGCTATTCCACCGCTTGTTTACTTACAATTTTATTTTAATCTTCTTACCTTTTATATATTTTTTCTTTATATATTGAGTTTTAAAGGGCATGATTTCATACAGAGGAGTGGTAGTGCTGGCACAGCACATACACAGCCCTTGGAAGGTGGGTTTGGACATCTACCCAAGGCAGGAAGGGTGTATCCACCTAATTCTTTCTCTCCCCATCTGTAGTCCGTCTGCGGACTGAGTGACCCTAAGTAAATCCCAAGCCTGGCAGTTCTCTTTCCTCGGGGCCTGGGAGCTCACATACCTATCCCAGTATCTTTCAAGGAAGTTGTCTCAAGTATGTGGGTCATCTGTAAATTCTTGCAACCCCCACCCCAATTACCATGGAGACGGTGCATCCTGTTTTGTGAGCCCATTGCATTCACCTATCTGCCCCTCTCCTGTGTCCACAAAGCTCAAGGGGCCTCACCCATCAACTGCAGACTCCAGGGCTAGTCTGGAGCTTGCAGGCCCCAGCGAAGCAACAGTAGTGCCAGACCCCTGCTGCTTAGGAATGTGTCAGCCTGTGGCTCTTGTCTGCACTGCAGATACAACCCAGAGACCGGTAACCAGGGCCACTGCTCTGGATTACAAGCTAAAAATCTGAAATTGCTCCTACACTAAATGTTGGAAAATGCCTTTCAAGTCTCCTAGACCTTTTGTGCATTCAGTATATGTTGGGTGTAAGTGTATACTAAAAACATGCAAATGAGCTATAAGAAAATAGTGCTAACTATTCTCACTCCTTGCCAACATAATTACCTTCATATGTAGAAAATAATCACTATATAAACTGATCATTGCAGAAAAACCCCGACTATTCATGGGTAGTTTGGAGCCAGTGGTTTTAAGTTTAGAAATTACAATCGCTTCTATCATCGAGGGACTTAGATTTTTATAACACTAACTAGGAGCTACATTTCCGTGTGAATGGGGTTTCTTTGCTCGAATTCATAGGCTAACATCATACTTGGAGTCTTAAAACCTGACACTTTTATGTTGTCGGTCTCAGAAGGTAGATGGGTGGAGTGGTGGGGCACTGACTCCTTCAAACCTTGGGCTATCTCGGACGGGATAACAATTGCCCACCTGCTCCTACACGTGCTTAGAGCACGGGAAAGAAGGGTAAAAATAAAACGGGAAACTGCCAGGACTTAAGATGTCTGGTCAAAGCCACTTCGCTCTCCCAGGAAGAGCCTACCCGCTTCCAAAATGTCCTCCCGCAGTTCTGACGACACTCGGTCGGCTTCATTAAGCCGGAAAGCCAGTGATCCAATCAGGTCTCAGTTCCCTCACCCACTGCCCTTCATTTACGTCACTTCCGGTGGTGCAGCAGCCATTTTGTCAGTCGCCAGTGGATCCCGCGCGCTGGAGAAGTGCAGTTCCCCCTGGTTACTAACTCGTCAATTCTCCCTTCGCGCTGCGGGCGCCGGGGCGCCGTCGAAGAGCACTCACCACAGACATAGCCGTTCCTCCCTATAGTGTAGCTGCTGCTGTTACATCCGCTTGGAGCTAGTGCGTTGTCTTCCTCCCCCGCCACTGACAGGCGCCCTCAGGGAGCCGCCGTCAGCGATGTCAAGCGAGGAAAGCTACCGGGCCATCCTGCGCTACCTGACGAACGAGTGCGAGCCGTACGCGCCGGGCACCGAGGGCAATGTCAAGCGTAAAATCCGCAAAGCGGCCGCCTGCTACGTGGTGCGCGATGGGACCTTGTACTACCAGCGGCGGCAGCGGCACCGCAAGACCTTCGCGGAGCTGGAGGTGGTGCTGCAGCCTGAGCGGCGCTGGGGGCTCATCGAGGCGGCGCACCTGGGCCCGGGCGGCACTCACCACACCCAGCATCAGACCTGGCACGACTTGTCCAAGACGTACTGGTGGCGAGGTAGGATCTCGCCCGCGGCGAGGCGGGTTGGCGGCTTGTTGCCCAGGCAAGGCCCGCTGTCGGAGGCGGGCCTGTTAGCAGAACCGCGAGTTTGAGAGTCCCTCACCCTGCTTCCCGGACGCCCCTCGCCGCCGACCCAGTCTACGCTGGGCTTTGCAGCGGCTGCCAGGCGGAGCCGAGAGTGTGAGGGACACGAAAGGAGCCGCACTTCCCACAGGAAGGAGGCCGGGGAAGCTGGGGGCGGGCCCTGGCCCGGGGTGGGGCGAAGGGGGGGCTTTGCCGGGGGCCGGGCCAGCCGTGGGGGAGGGGCCGGGACGCGCGAGCTGCGCCGGGTCCTCCTCCCGCAGCACCTGAGCCGGTGGCTCCTTCCCTTAGGGGAGGCTTCTGGGCGGGGGGCGGCGGTTAGCGGGGTTGCGTGTTGGGCCATCTAAGATCCTGTTTGTGCTGTAGGTTTGGGGGAGTGACAGTCGGCCAAAGGCCGGGCTCCAATCTCCAGTGCATTCTGTTAGGGTTTTGGCCAGCGCGTTTTTCTGGACCCTTTTACTCGTATTCCTCAAATTGTGCTGCTGGGTTGTAAATAAGGAATAGTGCAATTATGTGCAGAAATTATTTGGAGTAACTGAAAACCATCACCTTGAACCTTGTTTTTAGGGCAAGAATTCGATGTAAAGAATAGCAGATGCTCTTAGTTCTGAATGTTTCATATTCTTCCCTTGAATACTGTGAAAAGCGCTTTGGAAACTGCTAGGCACTATATATGCCTGGAAGAAACACGGTTACTGTGTCATAGTCATGAAGTATAGCTCTCAAGTTTTTTGAACCTTGGAAACCAGGAGAGCAAGGGCCCTTGGAGACACTGAACAGGGGATGGTTGTATCCAACACAGAAGGGGAGGAAGGTTGTTTAACTGTAGCAAATTGTTCAACTTTGCAGATAGATCACTAGAGCAGTGGTTCTCAACCGGGGACGATTTTACCTCCCAGGGGACATCTTGCTGTCTGGAGACAGTTTTGGTTGTCATAACTGATGGTGGTTGAGGGTTGTATTGACATCTAATTGGGTAGAGATCTGGGTTGCTCCTAAACATTGTACAGTGCACAGGACAGGACATCCCCCACCACCGCCAAGAATCACCTGGCCCAAAATGTCAACACTGCTGAGGTTGACAAACACTGCACTAGAGTGAGAAACTTCCTCAAGTTGTTTTATTAGAGGACTACTCACTAAGGTCATTTATTTTACTTTGTTCTGGGTCTTTACTGAGTAAATAACCTTTTAATGGTAATTTGGTGTTTTCTGTGGATTTTTTTTTTTTTTTTTGGGTACCAGAGAGGTTCACCAGTGAGCATTATTTAACAAACACTTAGTGGTAGTTACTGTGTGTCAGACACTGTTCAAAGTGTTTATACATATTAATATTTAAACCAGATGATGACACACAGGCACAGAGAGAGGTTTGAAGACTTGGCCATGGTCACAAAGCCAGTTAGAGGATTCAGATTTTGCTGCATAACTAATTACATCCCCTTGCAGTAATCTCCCACTCTTTTTTTTTTTTCTTTTACCACTCTTAAAATAGTAAATTAACAATGTTTACATGTTGATGTCTTTTGAGTGGTTAACCTGAGTCAGGTTCTTTCAGCTTAATCAGCTCTGGGTAAATTAAGAAGGTCAGGTTTCTGAATCTTTAAAACTACAATAGATTTAAAATGATCCTATCAAAACACTAACACTCGAGTTAAAGGACTTATAAAACATAACAGGATGACTCTTAAAACAGTTGATCGACTATCATACATTAATAGCATGTTTTTCCTGCAGTCTTTATAATTTTTCATCCTTGTTCCAAATCTTGTGTAATTTTTCCCAATACCATTTTAACTCATCCAGTTAATAGTTTCAAACCTCTGCTGTATGCAGAATATATTAAATTGTGTAGAAACATAAAATGTTTAGAAATACATAGAACCAAAGTTAATTAGAAAAAACAGCCTCTTCTTCTTTATTTTGGACATAGAAATTTCCATCGCAGTACTTCTTATTCTCCAAGTATGTTTCTTTCTTAGACATATATTTCCATATATTCTCTTACATTTAAAAAAAAATTGTGCTAAGATATATAATAAAATTTACCATTTTAATAATTTTAAGTGTATAGTTTAGTGTTAGTAAGTATATTCACATTGTTGTGTAACCATACTAACTATTCAGAAAACTTCACCCCTTCCCCGATTCCCCAACACTGTTCCTTCCCCCAATTCCCCAATGAAAATCTTAAAAAAAAAAAATCTTCAGAAATTTTTCATCATCCCAACCCATTTACTCTTATTTTTTTTATAAATATAATGAACATCTTTTCATTGTTTTACAAAGAGAATTAACGTCTTTTCCATTTACCCTTAATTGTATGCAAAATATATATCCATCCAGCCTTTTTTGTTACTTACTATATACCTCATAGAGGTATAGACTTGTTATTGACTTTAATATTTTTGGATGCTAGACTATAACCTCTATTGTTCTCTAAATCTATGTAAATGCCTTTTTGATGAAAGTTATATTTAACACTAACCCATTTTTAAATTATGTTCTAAAAAAATGCTGTTCTCTGAACAATCAAATTTGGAAAATTTCTAGGTTAAACAGGTTTCTTTACTGTAGAACTCAGAATTTTTAATAAGATAATATCCATTTTGTGTATTTAAAATGAGAATATAATTTCTGAATTTATTAGTGCAGTGTATACTTTTTTAGTAAATATGGGACATAATACAATTTGAGAAATATTGCTTGAATACTCTCTAAAGGTTGAAAGCAAGAAACTTGATATATTTTGACATCTTGAAACTGTTTTCAGGAATTTACTATATACCTCAGTATCTTTTTAGCTAATTAATGAGCCTTTTTATTTGCATTTTACTTGGGGATTATGGGGGAAGAAGTTTCACCACAGGGATGGACAAATGTGTTTCTGGGTAAGTAGCATAATATACTGAAGATAACATGGCTTCTGGAGGCCCAGCTATGCATTTACTAGATGTGACTTTGGACAAGTTACTTACCTCTCAGGGCTTAATTTTCCTGGTCTGTAGAATGGGAATTATTTGATTCTACCTTATAAGGGTGATTGGATATGTGTGTGTGTGTGTGTGTGTACAGTAAATCCTCACTTAAAGTTGATAAGTTCTGTGACTTTAAGTGAAATGACATATAATGAAACCAGTTTTACCACAAGCTAATTGATATAAACAAGAGTTAAGTTCCCACTGTATCTCATCAACGTTGTAACAAACCAATGTTACTTGAGGACCTACTGTGTATAAAAAGTGTTACTCCTTGCTCCCTACTCCCACCCCAACATACTGAGCTGGAAGTTGAAATTTAGAATAGGGTTTTGTGAGTGGCTTGTGTATAATCAACTTTAGTTAAGTTGTGTATTCTGCAGTTTCATGTAAATCTGAAATCTCATAGCTTTCAAAAAAACAGATTTATTTTATATTCTGATTACAAGATTTGGTTGTAATCCTGTTTAGGTTACAAGTTGGCTCCCTCTGTCTTTTTTCATCTGCATTTCGGGCTAAAGGACATCATTCATCTGGAACATCTGTTCTTTGAGATCAAAGAACTGATGGGAAACAGTGCCTCTTAAAGCTTCTAATGAGATATGGCACACATCATATCCATTCATATCCACTGACCAAAGCAAATTACATGGTCAAGTCTGGTGTTAGTAGGGTGGACAGGTATTAGCTTCATCTACATTATTATTACTATTTATAAAGGTAAAAAACAGTTGAATATTAGCAATTTCATATAGATCTTATTGCATGAATGAGTTGCAACTCACATGGAAATGGGTGGTGCTACATAGTCATCTTATATGGTGGGGAAGTGAGTAACATTTTAACATAGCATGGAAACAAGTGATCATTTAAATAACCTTATATCTTTGAAAAAATGTATTGTAAATTCTAAAGAACTCACTCTGGGGACTTTATGGGGCATACATGTGTCTGCACATATGCAGTGGAACATATTAGTGTACACATTAAATAATACACTACATTCTTTAATTTTCAAATGAGAGCCGTATTAAACTTGACTTGTTAATTTTTATTGTCATTGTAGGTATATTAAAGCAAGTCAAAGATTACATTAAACAGTGTAGCAAATGCCAGGAGAAACTAGATCGCTCCCGTCCAATATCAGATACTTCAGAAATGTTAGAAGAATTGGGATTAGACCTTGAATCTGGAGAAGAAAGTAATGAATCAGAGGATGACCTGAGCAACTTTACTTCACCTCCAGCTACAGCCTCCAAGCCTGCAAAAAAGAAGCCAGTATCCAAACATGAACTTGTATTTGTAAGTGGAATTTTCCATTTAGCTTTAATGTGTGTAACTAGTATATTAGTATTTGTAGTCTTTTTGAATTTTTTCTTAAACCACTAAAACTGCTTGACTATTGGCACTGACAATGAAGATTTAAGCAGGTCTGTGTCTAAAGTAATGCACTATATTATATACACTAAAAGTATGCTAATATATGTATGTATATTAAGGTTTGGAAATATGCTTTTATTTTCAAACCCAGGCATATGACTAAAAGTATGCTAATATTACCTCTTCATTAATCATAAATATCCCTGTTGTTGCTTCTCTTTAGAATGTAACATTGGTTTGTTGTTAATCACTCCTCCTCTCTTTTTTTTAATGGTATATTGGTACAGGTAGAATACATTTCTGGAAGCAGTCTTTGGGTCATGCAGCAAGGTAAAATTAAGCTGGCTAGGTCTTTGTTTTTTGCCTGTATTAGTTTCATATATCATTGGATTCCTGACTGTTAAGAAGAGACAGCAAGAAGTGAAATGCAGGTTTTCATTGAACATAGATAAAAATAGTGAGAACAGTGTATCTTTTCATTTAAATACATAGGTAATAAAGACTAGCAGGCTATTCATATTAATTAGTGGTGTCTTTTAAAAGGGAATAATGTATCTTGTCTAAAAGTCTCTTATGGGTGGAAATACAGATGATATATAATACAACTCTTGGTCTCAAACTTATTTTGATAGGTTGACACCAAAGGAGTAGTGAAACGTTCTTCTCCAAAACATTGTCAGGCTGTCTTAAAACAGCTGAATGAACAGAGACTCTCCAACCAGTTCTGTGATGTTACTTTGTTAATTGAAGGAGAAGAGTACAAAGCTCATAAATCTGTTTTGTCAGCTAACAGTGAATATTTTCGAGATCTCTTTATTGAGAAAGGAGCTGTTTCCAGTCATGAGGCAGTGGTGGATCTTTCTGGTAAGAACTTTCTAATACTCTTGCTTTTTGTTTATAAGTACCAGCTGGAAGAGGGTTGTGTGTGTGTGTTTCTTACAAACTCAGGATTTATGCTAAAGTGGGAGAAGCCCATTTATAGCAGCAGATTAAGCTATACTGATAAGGTCCTTCCTTTTGGCAAGGTTCCCAAGGTAGATTTATGGAAAAGGATAGGAAGAGTCATTTCCTATCACTGCCTCTTAGGTGAGAAATTTGTAGCAGTAGAAGAATATCTGGGATTTACACTGTTAAAAACAGTTTGAGAGAAATCCATACTGCATCAGTTTCATTACACTAAGTGATTATGTTATTTAAAAATTGACTGCTTATATCTTATATTGTGCAACATGTAATTAGAGAGCACTTTTGTAGGTCTGTTGTTTTTCATTTTTTAAGATTAATTATTAGAATTAGGTTCAATAATCAAACTGTCAATGTAGAATAATCAGAATTCCAGGTGTGGGTTTTTGTTTTGTTTTTAAGATTTTATTGGGGAATTGAGGAAAGGGAACAGTGTTGGGGAATTGGGGAAGGGGAATAGCGAAGTTGTTGTCCTTCAGTCTTAGTCGTGGAGGGCGCAGCTAGCCCAGCTCCAAGTTCAGTCGCCATCCGGCTGCCTGTTGGCAGCTGACTGCCGCTCAGCTCAAGGTGTGGTGTTCAGTCTTAATTGCGGGTGGGCGTAGCCCCCCATCCCATGCGGGAGCCTAACGGGAAATGTTGTTAGGAGCACGTGCTCTCACCAGAGCCATCCTGCCATCTGTTGGCAGCTCAGCAACAGCTCAGCTCAGGTGCAGCTCACCATGTCGGAATCGAACTGGCGACCCAGTTGCTCAGAGCTTGGGCTGTTAACCAACTGAGCCACTTGCCCTGCCCCGGTGTGGGTTTTTTTGTTTCTTTTGTTTTATATTTATTGTGAATGAATAATTTAACTTTTTTTTGGCCTCACTAGACTAGAGCTTATAAAAGGGCTTAGGAGTCAAAAAGTGAAAATTTAGGAAGAATTAAAGTAGCTAACCTTATTTATCCATTTTCTCATAATATTAACTTGCTGCAACTCTTGAATTACTGACATCACTGTGAAAATTTCATTTCCTCTTTCTGAAACAAAAAAGTGACTTCATCCAGGTATATAAATACTTAACCTGGTATCACTGATCCTTTTCTACCTTATACTTTTTAAGCTTACCTCTTCTGGGAAGACAAATATATATATATTTCCTTAGCAGTAGCTATATGTTTAATTACTAAAAAATATTTATTAAGCATCCACTGTGTGCGAGGAAGTAGCCTAGGTTCTTGGGATACAATGGTAAGCAAAAAATTTATGGAGCATAGAGTTATATTAAATTCTAGATTAGTGATTTGCTTTTTCTGAGTTTGGTGACTCAGAGGAGAAAATATGTCTTATACTGGGCCATCTGAATAATAAAATTCATCACAAGTATAATCTTTTGATATCTTAGCTTTGGATTTTTTTTTCCTATCTTATGCATCTGAAAAAGAAAGAAGTGTATGGATATTGCTTTTTTCTAGTTTCTTAGTAGCTTATAGCAACTGAAATGTCTGCCCCCAAATAACTGCAGTACAGCATCCTAATTATTAAAGTACAGCGTCCTAATATTAAAATCTCATTTATTCTTCATTCTAAATGCATTCTAAATGTATTATTCAGCAAATATATAAGGCAATAGCAGATAAAGTAGACATTAAAATTTTTTGCTTTAAATATTAAGTGGATAAAGAATATTTACAAAATATGTACAGTATAAAAAATTATAAAATACTTTTTTTTAATTATCTACTTTAATGTAGTTGAATTTACCTGTGTTTTTCTTTGTTATTTATACTTTAAAAATATTTCTTTCCTACTCAGTCATATAGATATTTTCATATATTGTCTTTTAAAATTTTCATAGTTTTTCTTTCATATTTAATTTTTTAATCTATTTGGAATTTATTTTTGTTGGCTTGAGATAGGTGTTTGATATCATTATTTCCCATTTTAATCATCATTTGTCTCAGAATCATTTAGTGAAAACTCTGACTGTCCTCTTCCTGTCCATAGACCATGTAAATTCTCTTAGAAAAGAAATTTCCATGTGTTTGGTATTGATTCTAGGCTTTGTTTCACTCTGTTGGTTGTCTCTTTCTACACTCTTATCACTTGGCCTTAATTACCTTCACTTTATAATAATAAAGAAAGTCTCTCACCTTTATTATTCAGGTGGGTCTTAGTTATTCATAACCGTTTCCTATTCCATATAAACTGTAAAAGCAACTCACCTACCACAAAAAGAAAATAATGTATTTTGATAGAGAATATATTGAATAAAGTTTTAGAGATTAATCTAATAAAGGTCTCATATCTTTTGTTAGATTATTCCAAAGCACCTTATATTTTTTGATACTATTGTGATTTTTTTCTTCTTAACATTAATATAATTTTCTGATTTATTTCTGGTGTATATTGATTTTTATATACAGTTATACTGCTAAATACCTTTAGTTGTCCAGAAATTTATCTATAGATTCTTTGAGGTTTTTAACATCAAAGATATTATTTACTAATAGTAATAATTTTGTTTCTAGCTTTCCAGTCTTTATATTTTGAACTTTTTTCTTGCTTTACAATGCTGTCCAGGACCTTAAAAAAAAGAAAATCATCATTTTAGCAATTGAATAGAAATGATGGATGATAGAGGGTACACTTATCTGAGTCCCATTTCTAAAGAAGGTTTTTGTTTGTTTGTTTGTTTGTTTTTTAACCATGAAGTATGTTATTTGGTAAGTGTTTTAAATATATAATCCTTTACCCCCTTTAACATTAAGGAAATTTCCCCTGAAGTGGGTGTTGGCGTATCACATACTTGTCCATCTTTATTTTTCCCATTCTGTTAATGTGGGAAATTATGTTGATTTTCTAATGTTAAGCTAATTTTTCATTCCTGAAATAAATCCAATTTAGACGTGATGTATCACCTTTTGTATAAATTGCTGTTTGGTTTGTTAATATTATTTAAAACATTTCCATCTATCTTTATGAGTAATTTTCCTTTTTCACACTGTTGTGAACTTTGGGAGAAGACTTTTAACTGCTAATTTGACAAGTTCAATGGTTTGCCATGTATAATGCATACTTTTCTGCCCAAATTTGTGAGGGAAAAATAAGAATGTGCATTATACATGGATAGTACTAATTCCATAGCTATATAAATGTTTTTAATTCTTTTGTTTATGCTTATGAGTTAAAAGCATAACTCTAGGGCCGGCCGAGTGGCTCAGTTGGTTAAGAACTTGCTCAAGAGCGCGAGCTCTGAGCAACAAGGTCGCCAGTTCAATTCTCACATGGGCCAGTGAACTGCGCCTGAACTGAGCTGCTGCTGAGCTGCCAACAGGTGGCAGGATGGCTCAGCTGGTGAGAGCATGTGCTCCTAACAACAAAGTTGCCTGTTTGAGATGGTGGGCTAGGCCCATCCGCCACTAAAGACTGAACTCAGCACCTTGAGCTGAGCTGCTGCCTGGGTGGCTCAGGGAATAGAGCATGTGCTCTTAACAACGAGGCTGCTGGTTCGACTCCTGCATGGGATGGTGGCTATGCCCACCTGCAACTAATTGAACACAGCACCTTGAGTTGAGCGGCGCTACTGGACTTGGAGCTGAGCTTGCTGTGCCCTCCACAACTAAGAATGAATGACAACAACTTGGCTGTTCCCCTTCTCCAATTCCCCAATACTGTTCCCCTCCCTCAATTCCCCAATTTAAAAAAAAAAAGAAAAAAAAAGTGTAACTCTAGAAATCAATAACGATATCCATATGCAAAACAATACCCTGGAATACAATCATCAGTTTTGTTGAATTTAACAATGAACTTGCAACGACAGAGTTCTTGGCCTTCTAGTTCTTGGCCTTCTACAATGAGTAAATATCGTAAATTTGTTACTGGTACATAAAATTTCTTGTACCTTGTATCTGTTCTTGTGTTTTGTACTTATTTGTTACATAAAATTTCCTGTACCATACTATGTTAAAAAATAAATGCTAAAATTTCTTTATAATACAAAAAACAATTACCTAAATGTAAAATAAAAATTTGAATTAAAAAAAAAATTTTTTTTCCCCCTGAAAGTTTGGGCCAAAAACATGGGTGTGCATTATACATGGGAGCACATCATACACAGCAAAATACGGTATTCAGGTTTTCTATTTCATCTTGAGTAATTTTAGAAAGTTATATTTTTGCCAGAGTTTATGTATTTCATCTAAATTTTCAAATTTATTGGTACAAAATTTTTCATGTTCTCTTTTAAATGTTTCCAGTGATTTTAGATATGTCTCTTTCATTCTTTGATATTGGTTATTGATGCCTTTTCTCTCATTTAAAAATTTTTCTTACTAAAGGTTTACTTTTTTTTCAATCCTATTAAAAGCAGGAGTTGGCAAACTACAGTTTGCAGGCCACATCTGGCCCACTGCCTGTTTGTGTAAATAAAGTTTTATTGGGAGACAGCCATATCTATTTATTTACATATTGTCTGTGGCTGCTTTTGAGCTTATAAGGGCAAAATTGAAAAGTTGCTACATAAACCAGTGACCCACAAAGCTTAAAATATTTGCTTATCTGTCTCTTTCCAAAAAAACTTTCCTTACTACTATACTAAAGCATAATTTTTAAAACGTTAAAAACCTGACTTTTATGAAAATATAGTCCAAAATTTTTATGTCATTAATGGAGGAAATTAGTAAGATGTTAAAACTGCTTCTAATAGAATTTTTAAGAAAAGAATTGCTGTCAGCCAAAGGAATGTTGAAATGAATTTACTGATAGTTGAAGAACTGGTTATCCTACAGGGAAATAAACTAAGTTTTAGGGTTATCTTTCCTGATAGACATAGCTTCTCAGTCTTTCACTTCATTTACATTTGCTATCACTTTTTTCTAAGTTAATTTTAATAGAGTTGTAGTCAGTCAATGGTGTATGCTCAGCACTGCTCTTAAAGAACACCTGATAATCCTTTTTGCATATTACCAAGCTTTGGCTAATTTTTCTTGACACTCCTTTCAAAGAACAGCAATTGTTTTGTTTTATTTCTGCTCTTTATTATCTTCTTTATTTGAGCATATACTCTGTCTCTCTTTTTTGTTTTTAAGTGTATAATGCTTACTTAGCCCATTAACTCCCCACCTTTCTTATTGGGTTGTTGGAAAAGTCTTGATGCATGTTTGCAACAAATGGCACTAGTTCATTTTTGGAAGCACTAGAGTCATTCGCATCTATGTTATTGCTATGTCATTTGACAGCTGACAGTTCTAGCTTCATTCTAAAAGAAACTGAGCAATTTGGTTGAGTTGTGGAGATTTTACAAGTTGAAGATGGAAGACCAAACGGTGCATTTTTGCCATATTTTACTGTTTTACTTCCATAAAGGGAAGAACACTTGTCAAGCTTGTGAAAAGTTGCATCAAGTTTACAGTGACAATGCTCTACAAGAACGTCAGTGCCTACGATGGTTCATGAAATTTCATGCTGGTGACTGATCTCAACAATGCTCCTCGGTCAGGGAGTCCCACCAAGGTTGATGACGACAAAATAAAGGCATTGATCGAGTCAAACCCATGTTACACAACACGAGAGATTGCAGAAACATTGAACATCCATTATTTAAGCATTCACGACCACATGAAGAAGCTGGGATACGTAAGCAAGCGCGATATTTGGGTTCCGCATGAACTCAAAAGAAGTTCATTTGACGGTGTGTATAAACATCTGCGATATGCTCATTAAACATGAGGAAAACGATCCTGTTTTGAAGCAACTGATAACTGGTGATGAGAAGTGGATTGTTTACAACAATGTGGTGCACCAAATGGTCTCAGTCCCAATGTGAAGATTTGCCTCAAACGACATCGAAAGTAGACATTCATCAGAGGAAGAGTGTGCTCTCAGTGTGTTCGTATTTTAAAGGTGTCGTGTTTTTCGAGCTCCTACCAAGGAACCAATCAATTTGAATGTGTACTGGCGGCAATTGGACAGTTTGAATGAATCCATCATCCAGAAACCTCCAGAGCTTTTTAATTGTAAATGAGTTGTGTACCATCACGACAACGCGAGACCACACAAAAGTTTGATCACCTGTCAAAAATTATTGGAGTTTGGGTGGGATGTGTTGCCACACCCACCATACTCACTTGACCTTGCTCCGTCAGACTTCCGCTTGTTTCGCTCTCTTCAAAACTCCTTGTGTGGTATAACGTTCAATTCAGATGAGGCTGTAAATCATCACCTTGTTCAGTTTTTCACCATTAAAGACAGGTCCTTCTATGAACGAAGAATTATGAAGCTTACTGAAAGATGACAAAAGTTATCAAACAAAACGGGCAATATATCATTGATTGACCTTTGTTCTTTATATAAATAAATGACCTTTGAAAAACATAGACAAAATACGTCATGATGTTTCCGTAAACCCAATATTTTCTAGTTTAAGCATTCAAGGCTAGAAATTTGCCCTTAATTCTGCAGATTTGCTGACAGTTGCTTTTAACACTCCATGTGCTCTGTTTTTATAAGTTTAATTTTGCTTGAATAGAATGTCAGTTTTTTCAGTTGGATGCAGTTAGAATTAGATCAAGCTTGTTAATTGTTAATTCTGTGCTGATTATTTTGTGTGCTTGATCTGTCAAGTACTTTAGAATATTAACTATTATGATTCATTTGTCTATTTCTTTTTGAGTTTCTTCAGTTTTTGTTTTATGTATTATGAGGCCATGTTATTACATGCATATAAATTTAGAATTATGGCTTTATAATGAAATATCCTTTTATCATTATGTAGTGATCCTCTTTATCATTAGTGATGCTCTTCACTCTTAAAGTCTGTGTTGGATGCTATTGTAAACAATAATTTCTGTTTTAGCTATTGTAAATATCTTGAGCTGTGTAAACAATATTTTTGTTATTTGCCTAGGATATCTTCCTCCATCTTTTATTTTCAAACTTTTTATATTTTTTATGTTTTAGATATCTCTGTACATCACATTTCTGGATTTTGTTTTTAATCCGGTATGAGGATATTTGACTTTAAACTATCTTGCATGGAAACTGAGATTGTTGTATTTCATTAGTTGGGAAAAATTCTTAGCCAGTATCTCTTCAGAAATTGTCTCTGCCTTTTTCTCTGCCTTCTACCTTTCTGAAGCTCCAATTAGACAGACATTCTCACTTTATATTGTCTCTCTTAATCTTTCTGTCATAGTTTCTTTCTTTGTAGATTATTCTGGAAAATTATAGTTCACTCTTTAGTTGCATCTAATTTTTTGTTGAATTCATTTACTGAGCTTTTTATTACAATTTATTTTTGTTCCATTTTTAGAGGTTTTATTTCGTTCTTTTTCAGATGTCTCTTTTAGGGAGCTCCTTTTTGTGATCTTTTGCTCTATTGGTATGCCACCCTTTATTTTCTGTATCTGATTATAGCAATACTTAAAATCTTTGCTGGTTTGACTTATGTTCTTTGTTTCTGCTAGCTCTTGTTCATGGTGCCTTTTTTCTTTGTGATTTTTTTAAACCTGTGTACACTGAATTCATATTCTTTAGAACTTTGTGGGAAATCTTTGAGTCCTGGGTTGAAGGTGTTTTCCCAGAGGAAACATTTGCTTCTTTAGATACTGAGGGCATTTGCAATCTGGGACCACTTTAAATTCTCATCTTGAGGCTTTTATGACTACCAAAGTGTTATATATATTTAAAAATAAATAATAATAACCCACCAAAGTAAGCCTGGCTGTGGTCTTGACTACCCAAGGAAGATTTCTCTACTGCTTCCACTCAGTGCTGGGGCACTGAATAAATTTAAAATAGTATTTTAAAATATTTTCGTCTAGCATTTTTTTTCCACACATGTGAGTCTTTCAAGGCATCTGAGTCTGCCATACTGCTGGATGTGCAAGTACCTGTCAGTTTTTTTTAATCTATAACCACTGTCCATTTAAAATTTTTAAATTTTCATAAAAAACACATAATATAAAATTTACCCTCTTGATGATTTTTAAATATACAGTTCAGTAATATTAGCTTTATTCACATTGTTGTGTAACAGCTCTGGAACTTTTTCATCTTGCAAAATTATTCATTTCATTCTGTCTAAAATGTTTTGCACAGTGTGTATATGTGTACGTTCGTATGTAAGAAGGCTAGGGGTAAAAACCAAATACCAAAATTATCTATTATCATTTGGCAGTAAGATTATGAGTGAATTTTTTATTTCTTTATTTTGTGTTTATAGTATTTTATAGTAAACATGACTTGTATCTTTGAAAAAGTGGTTTTAGATATTCAAAGTGTTATTTGGAACAGTGTTAATCCTTTCATGGTAAAATTTTCTTATGATTTCATACTTAGATATTTAAAAAGGTACTAGGTAAAAGACCAAAATAAATTATTTTATTGGTATGCGTTTTTTTTTTTTAAAGAAATATTTTTACTTACCTCAAGCTTATTTAACTTGGTCTCGTAATTTGTAGCAGCATTAATCTGGCATTAGTCTATTTAAATATCAGCTTTCCTAACAATGGCTGAATTAACCATGATGATAATGTTGATGTGTAGTTCCCTCAGTTTTCAACCTGACTCCTAATGTATCTCACAGTTTAAGGCTTCCCTGTATACTTGTCCATCCCATCTGCCTATGTAAAAGGACCACATTTTATGTACCTTGAGTCAAAACTGAAAAACACAGCAAATGTGAGTTTTTAAAAGGTTGCTTTGGCCCTCTATATTTTAATAAAAGTTCTGTAAGATTATTATATATGAAAAAGAAGGCACAGAACAGTATATATAATTAAACCTGTAAGAAGGGAGAATAAGAATATTTGCTTGACTGTATAAAGAAACTCTGGGAAGCTATATAAATTCTTAATTGTACTGGTTATAGAGATAGAGTTGAACATATCACTGTGAAATTTTCTGATTTTTGAATTATGTGAATATTAAAAATGGCTTTTGAAAGTGAAGGACTGAGAACTTAGAAAAGCTACAAATTGATCTTATTTTCTCACATAAAATAAGAATGTAATACCTAAAATAAGAGTGTATAGTAATTATTTCATTCCTTAAACCAGGTAGGCAAACTATAGCCCTAAGGGCAATCCTTGTTTCCTTTGTTTTTTGTAAAGTTATATTGGAACACAGCCACACCCATTTGTGTATGTATTACCTATGGCCACTCTTTCCAGCTACAATTACAGAGTTGAGTAGTTGCAACAGACACTTATGGCCTGCACTCTTAATTATCTGATTCTTTATAGAAAACTTTTGCTGACCTCCCTGCCTTAGACCTTATTTTTAAATTTTTAGTAGTAGAACCCTTTGTTTCCAATCAATTTTTATTTGGAATTCTATTATTAAAATATACAGCTATGCTTACTGAAGTAAGGTTAGGGGACAGGTTGGTTGAACCCTGCCTACTCACCTGCATCCCTCTCTTTTTTTACCCTCCATTCTCCAGCAGCTGTTTCTTGAGGGGAATTTGAGGAACCCCCGGGGTTCTAAGGAGTACAGTTTGAAAATGACTGCCTTACAACAACTCTTTGAGGTAGTAAGTCTGATATTATTTTCTATTTTAGGTATTCAGGGACTCGGCTCATAGAAGTGAGTTAGTCAAGGCTTAATAAGCAACCAGAACACAAAACAAACCCAGGGTGTTTAATTGCAAAATAAATGGTCATATTTGCCTTTGTATTCTATTTTACATTGTCATAATCATATATTAATTGTTCTTATAAGATGTTTTAGTGGTGATTTGACTCTTTTGTCCCCCATCTCTCTTGTTTCATGTAGGTTTCTGTAAGGCCAGCTTCCTTCCTTTACTGGAATTTGCCTATACTTCTGTGCTAAGTTTTGACTTCTGTAGCATGGCTGATGTAGCCATCTTGGCTCGGCATCTTTTCATGTCAGAAGTTTTAGAAATCTGTGAAAGTGTACATAAACTAATGGAAGAGAAGCAGCTAACAGTATATAAGAAGGGCGAAGTACAAACAGTTGCATCTACTCAGGACTTACCTGAACAAAATGGAGGTACAGCACCACCTGTGGTTAGCAATGAAGGAACCACAACAACTTTATCTACTGAACTTGGGGATTGTGAAATTGTCCTGTTGGTGAATGGAGACTTGCCAGAAGCTGGGCAGAATGGAGAGCTAGGGCAACAACCTCAGCCCCAGGTTTCTTCAGAGGTGGAAACCACTCTGTCACCTCCACCTGTAGGCTGTATGACTGATTCCCAACCTGAAATGGAGTCTGTTGATTTAGTAACAAAAAACAACCAGACAGAACTAGAAACTTTAAACAGCAGAGAAGATAGCACAGTTTCTAATATTTATCCAAAACTTTCAAAAGAGAATATAACCAGCAGCTCTGCAGAAAACAGTGAGATGGGAAATGATACATCAATTGAGGATGTCTGTGATGAAGACATTCCAGAGAATAGGCAGAACCTTGGCCAATCTTTAAAAGATCAGGAAAATCTAGTCGCAAAGACAAACCTTGGCCCTGATGATGATACTTACAGAAGCAGGCTTCGACAGCGTTCTATTAATGAAGGGGGATATATCCGACTTCACAAAGGAATGGAGAAAAAGCTGCAAAAACGGAAAGCCATTCCCAAGTCAGCAGTTCAACAGGTATGATGAAGAGTTGACATTTGTAGTTTTAGCTTAAAGTTGAAAACATTCTATTGATAAACTCATGCGTATGGTGAAAATTATTTTGGGGTTAAAGGGGAGGTAAGTGCAGGAAAGCAACTTCATGTTTTAAATACCAATAAGATAATATGAACTTGCAATATTTATAGCATGACTCATTACTAAAAATGAAAATAATTATATTATTTAGATTGTTTTTTCTATCCATTATTTAGGTGGCCCAGAAATTAGTTCAAAGAGGGAAAAAGATGAAACAGCCAAAAAGGGATGCTAAAGAGAATACTGAAGAAGAAGCATCTCATAAATGTGGAGAATGTGGAATGGTTTTTCAGAGAAGATACACCCTTATAATGCACACACTAAAACATGAAAGAGCTAGAGACTACAAATGTCCGGTAAGTATCCGGAAAGCTAATTGAAGATGGCTCTAACTTCATGATAAGTAGAATCCAACTTACTGCTTCATTGTTATCCTACCATTTGTATTCTCTTTCTGTCTCTCTGCCTTATATTGCTAAGAGTCATCTTCTGATTTGTATGTTATCTCCTTGACAAAAAATATTTAGTGACATACCTCCTGATACCCCAGTAAGACAACAGTAAAAATCTAAGCTAGTTGGGCCAGCCGAGTGGCACATTGGTTAGGAGTTGGCTTGAGACACCAGCTCTGAGCAGCAGGGCCCCGGTTTGGATCCCACTTGAGGATCCAAACTCCTCATGTGGATCTTAGCTGCGCCCTCTACAGCTAAGATGGTGAACAAAAGCTCGACCTGGAGTTGGGCTGCTGTGAGTCGCCGGCGACGTCGTAGGCTGCAGTGGCAGCTGGCCGTGAGATGCTGGGAGCCTCTGTGTACGGCCATCCAGTGGCCTGTGAGCGACTGCCTCACCTGGGAAGAGCGCAATGATAATACCAACATGGGCCAGTGAAGCGACATCCTCCACAACTAGACTGAAGAATGAAAGGACAGCAACTTGTCTATTCCTCTTCCACAATTCCCCTACGCTGTGCCCCTTCCCCAATTCCCCAATTAAAAAAAAATATCTACGCTTGTAAAAGGGAAAAGAGAACAGGAGGGGAGACCTTAGCAACTAAATTCTGGCCTCTGGTAAATAGATGTGATAACTGATTCAGCAGATTTGAAAGGCTCAGTGCTATGCTTGCACTGGGAAAAGCTAAGAATCAATTGAAATTGTATTGCAAAACTACCAAACAGCTCAGAAATTTACAGTACAGTAAAACCTTGGATTGCGAGTAACGTGGTTTGCGAGTGTTCTGCAAGACGAGCAAATATTTCTAATACATTTTAACATGGTAAATGAGCGATGTCTTGCAATATGAGTAGTTTGTTTCTGGAACGAATTATGCTCGCAAACCAAGGTATTACTGTATTACTAACTACTTTGAAAGTGGAAGTGAGCCTGGTTGTTAAAAGTCTTTAACAATTAAGGGGCCGGCCGAGTGGAGCGATGGTTAAGAACTGGCTTGGGACGCCAGAGGGCCCCGGTTCGGATCCCACATATGAGGGCCAGTGACACTGACCTCCACAGCTAAGATGCTGAACAACAGTTCAGCCTGGAGCTGGGTTGCCTTGAGTCACCGGCGACGGCGTAGGCTGTAGCCCCTGTGGCAGTGGGTTGCCATGGGCTACTGTGTGTGGCCAGCAGCCAGCGTGAGCGGCCAGCAACCGCAGTGAGCGGCTGTCCAGAAGCTGGTGACTGATCTGCTTTGCTGGGGAAGAGCGCAATGATGGTGCCAACTTGGGCCAGTGAAGCAACGTCCTCCACAACTAGACTGAAGAACAAGACGACAGCAACTTGTCTGTTCCCCTTCCCCCAATTCCCCAGTGCTGTTCCCATCCCCCAATTCCCCAATTAAAAAAAAAAATCTTAAAAAAAAAAAAGAAGCAATTAAGTTACCACCACCATTCCCTCAGACAAAGATCTACTTTTCAGAAAAGATAAAACGATAACTGCTCTGGAGAACACTATAAAGAGAGGGTGAATGTACTATACCCAAAACAGAAAAATAAAAGCTTACATACTGAATATTGAAAAATTTTAAGTTCTCTTCCCCTAATCAAGGCTCAGAATGTTAGCAGCCAGGCCTTTAACCTGAAAGCAAAGAGATTTCTCAGAGGTGGGAAATCCAAAGCCCATAAACAAAAGGCCTAAAATTACTGCTGACTAAAGCCTGTGGTTGACAATCCACTCCCCCATTTACACAGAAATTCTAATGAATTTTTTTTTAACTTTATTGGGGAACATTGTTTTTGGGGGGAACAATGTGGTTTTTTTGGGAGGGGGAAACAATGTGTTTTTTCCAGGACCCATCAGCTCCAAGTCAAGTTGTTGTCCTTCAGTCTTAGTTGTGGAGGGCATAGCTCAGCTCCAAGTCCAGTAGCCGTTTTCAATCTAGTTGTAGGGGGCACAGTCCACCATCCCATGTGGGAATCGAACCAGCAACCTTGTTGTTAAGAGCACGCTTTCTAACCAACTGAGCCATCCAGCTGCCCCCAATCAAGTTTTTTAACATCTTATTTGAAATATGAATAGACATCACGGATAATCAGACTCATGATAAATATTTCAAGAAAAAAAGCAACTTCGAGGAATCCAAAACTATACACAGAGAAAAAAACTTCAAAAAAGAACCCTAACCACAAAGTAAGTTATATCACAGATAAATGAAAAAGTTTCATCAATGAAACAATAACCAGGTACTATATTTTAAAAATGGTACATTAAGAGAACAGAAGATGTTTTTAGGAATAAAATATAAAAATCTTAGAAAAACTGGAAAATAGAATTGACTAAATCTCTCAGAAAAAGCAGAAAGACAAGTTAGAAAGTGGGAGTGAAAGAAATTTAGAGGATTGGTCTAAGATGTTCAATATTCACATAATTACAAACAGAACAGGGAGAGAAGGAAATCATTTATGCAATGAAGAAAAATTTCAGAACTTAAGGATAGAGAAGTTTCCTTGTTATAAGGGCACATTGAATGCCCAGAACCATGAATGCTCAGAAAATAAATCTGTCAAGATACATTATGAAATTTCAGAATATACAGACAAAGAGAAAATCTTATAAATTGCAAAAGAGAAAAAAGATGGTCAGTCTCATAGAAACGTTAAGGGTTAGCATGACTTTAGGCTTTTCAGCAGCAACAGTGGAAGCTGAAAGACAAAGTCACTGTGCCTTTAAAATTCTAAAGAGAAATAATGTCTAACTTAGAGTCTGTAGCCAAATTATCAGTTATTTGCGATGGTAGAAGAACATTTCCAGATATTAAAGGTCTGGAAAGTTTTACTTCTCAAACTCCCTTTCTCAGGAAGCTATTGGCAGAGGTGTTCCACTAAAATGAGCAAAACATGGGAAACTTGGGGTCCAATTCTACAGAGTTTCAAGTGTAGGAAACAACCAGCCTAGGTTGGAACCGGACATAATGCTTTGATAGAGATCTCTGGTAAGGTCATGTGTTTATTTGTGTTTTTTTTTATTGGGGAACAGCCATGGTCATTGGTTACACATTGCTTTCATGCTACAATAGCATAGTTGACTCTTAAGGAGGGTGCAGCTCACAGTGGCCCATGCAGGGATCAAACTGGTAACCTTGGCATTGTCAGCATCATGCTCTAACCAACTGAGCTAACCATTCATCCCTAGGTGATGTGTTTTAAATCTCCTCTTAGTGAACAACCGAGGGAAGGGTTTGGTGATGAATTAGAAGTAAATACAAAGACAAGTAAGCAAAAAAGAAAACAGAAAGAAAGAGAATCATAGTGTACTATATGGCTCAGCTATAGTAACATTTATATCATCCAAATATTGTAAACACTGAAATTGATCAATTGAAATTATGCTATAACTACAATATTGAGAAAGTAGGGTAATGAGAAGGATTTTGCATATATGTAGGGAGGGGTGGGGTGAAGGAGAGTGTCGTTGTCCATTATTCCTGTGACTTAGACTTATAAAGATAAGCATCATGAGAGTCAAAAAAAAACAACAAAAACAAACAAAACTGGAAGAGAAAGTGGACCAAGAGACGAGTTTTATTTATTTTTAAAAAAAATAAGTCTTGTAGATGGTGAGCATATATAACTTTGATTGATTTCATGAATCCCCAAGAACTACAGTATAAAATCCAAAGACCATCACAGTTTCATTTTTCTGCTTTTCCCAACCCCTATATTTGCTCCACCTAACAACCATTATTAGCACTCCTATAATGTTAGCATTCTTCTGTCTTTGTGTCCTACAGTTCCTTCAAGACAGACCTAGCTTCCTTGATGAGATCTACCTTATTGCTCGGGTTACTCTCTCTCCCTTAAATATTTCACCTTTTTTAACGTATAAATCCGGTTTCTGTGGTTAGATTATAAACCGCTCCAGAGTGGGGGGCTGGGTCTTGTCCCTTTCATCTTTATAATCTGATACCTAACATACTGTCTTTTACATAGTATATGTGTTTATTGATTTACATAATTGTAACAAATGCGATGTTGAAATATGAGTCGAGTTTCACTTAACATTTATAATGGAATTACGGTTAGACAGAATTTTGTTTACTTTTTCTTTCAGTTGTGTAAAAAACAGTTTCAGTACAGTGCCTCCTTGCGAGCACATCTTATTCGACATACCAGAAAAGTTGCGCCCACTTCATCCTCTTCCAATTCCACATCTACTGAGGCATCAGGAACATCGTCTGAGAAGGGCAGAACCAAACGAGAATTTATATGTTCCATATGTGGAAGGACATTACCTAAATTATATTCTCTTCGAATACATATGTTAAAGCACACTGGTGTAAAGCCACATGCATGCCAGGTAAAGCCATACATTTATTTTATTATAAAGAAGATTGGAACTTAACTGCTGATGAGACTGGTTAATTCTGGAGTCACCCTCACTTTTATAAAATCTCACAGGGAATTCTGTGACATTTTTAGTTTGTTGCCTAGGTAAAGGGTGATTCCCAATTATGTTAATTTGCTGTTTAATTTGTTGTAATTTAAAATGAATCTATTTAGAGTGTTTGTGAAACTTACTAGGATTCAGAGGATATAGTGGGTGAGGATAACCAGTTCATCATCCCAGTCATCCCGTAACCTTAAGCAGGACCAACCTGGACTCGAAGGAAGACAGGGTTCAAATGAATCTCCTTTGCAAAAATCCTGCCTAAACTATGTATCCTTCTTTCTGAGGACTGAGGTTACCTAAAAATGCCAAAATATGACTCCTGGGTATAAACAATATACCCAGGGCAACTTTGGGCTATTCTCTCTGTCTCTCGTTTTTTTGTTTTGTTTTAGCTTTTTGTTGTATGATAATAGGATATAAGAGAATAGAATAGGGCCAGCCAAGTGGCTCAGTTGGTTAAGAGCTCGCTCAAGAGTTTGAGCTCTGAGCAACAGCGGTTCGAGTCCCGGCCTGAGCTGAGCAGCCGCTGAGCTGCCAACAGGTGTCAGGATGGCTCAGCTAAAATAAATAAATAAATAATAAATAAATAAATAAATAAATAAATAAATAAATAAATAAATGAATAAATAAATAAAAAAAATAAAGAGAATAGAATAGATCCTCTTGTACCCTTCATCCGGATTTGGTAGTTATCAACACATGGTCGCTTGTGTTCTATATATACTGTCATTCACTGCCCTACTTCTCCCTCCCCTCAATTATTTTGAAGCCAAGTCCTGAGCATCATTTTATTCATTTATTCATTTAAACTAAGTATTAACTGGGCCTCTGGTCTTCTAGTGTAGCACTACTTAAAATGTGTGGACTACGGAAGTACAGAAATGGAGAATGAGCATTTAGAAATGGTCATGGCAATTGGATGATATTATGACATTTTTATTGTGTTTAACAGAAATCTCTTCCCAGTGGATTGGGAAAGAAAAAAAAAACTGGTCTGTATCACAGAGTATGAGAAGCACTGTTCTAGTTGGTGAAAAGGAAATGAGTGTATTTTCTTGATTAAGCTCCCATGTCACTATTACTATATAAAATGTAGTGTTTGCCAATCTCACAAGGACAACATGAGGTTCTTTTGTGCTCCTTTGTGCTCTGCCAGTGATCACATGGGTGTAAGAAAAATAGGCAGTATTAGTTAAGTACTGAATTAGAAGATGATCAACCAGTTCATATCTTTGGCATTTGTTTCAACTTTCGCTTTGTATTGTTTATAACTTAAGTTTTTTATTTAAAATGGTATATTGGTTTCTCTGTCTGCATGCTCCAGAAAGAGCTCCTATCTTCTTTTCTGTTTTACTGGTTTAAACACCTGTGCTGTCTTAGGTTTGTGGAAAGACTTTCATCTACAAGCATGGTCTAAAATTACACCAGAGTCTCCATCAATCACAAAAGCAGTTCCAATGTGAACTATGTGTTAAGTCATTTGTTACCAAACGGAGTCTTCAAGAACATATGAGTATTCACACAGGTAATGAGAAATATATATTGACATAGTTCCATATTACATATTTTTAATTTACTATTGATTATGCTGTGATTATTTCAGAATTGTATTGCTATACTAATGGCTCTATGTGTATAGTTTTTTATTAATGAAGGTAAAGTTAAAAGGTGTTCTTAAGTCTAGTTTTAGAGCTCTTTGTATAAAAATATTCATTGTTTCCCTCAGTGTGGAAAAATGTGTACTGACTATTAAATCATGCATAATTTAGATCAAGGCACCTACAGAAATGGTCATTCTTTTAAAAAGTTAAGCTAGCTATGAGTCACCGGCGACGGCGTAGGCTGCAGCTGCTGCTACAGTGGGTTGCCATGGGCTACCGTGTGTAGCCAGCAGCCAGCGTAAGTGGCCAGCAGCCGCCATGAGCGGCCGTCCAGGGGCCGGCGACTGATCTGCCTTGCCCGGGAAGAGCGCAATGATGGTGTCAACTTGGGCCAGTGAAGCAACGTCCTCCACAACTAGACTAAAGAACAAAAAGGACGGCAACTTGTCTGTTCCCCTTCCCCCAATTCCCCAATAAAAATCCTTAAAAAAAATTAAAAAAAATAAATTAAAAATTAAGCTATAGGAAGATGTAACTGTCAGCATGGTATGTAGCTTATAATTATGTGGAAATGGCTGATTAAAGGGTAGAACTTATATTCAACTCTATACTATTATCCAGATGATTATGAAAGCATATCATATTTTTTAGATAGTAGTAGCCTTGCTAGCACTAGAGAGGAAAAAAAACAAGGATTTTGACCTGGTTTATTCTTATTCTTAGAAGGAGGCTGCCAAATGTTACAGATTAGGTGTCCCCTTGATAAAATAACTTCTGAAATATGACATAAAATATTCTATTGCAAGAGCACTTGATTGCTGGATCTGTGACATGGTTTTATTTTTATAGGGGAGTCCAAGTACCATTGCTCAGTTTGTGGAAAGTCTTTTCACAGGGGCTCTGGACTCAGCAAGCACCTAAAGAAACACCAGCCAAAGCCTGAGGTTCGAGGCTATCATTGTACTCAGTAAGTAATTAATATGCAAACCACTCAATTAATTTCATTTTGTTCTCACTTGGTTTATTTGAAAGTTGTTTCCAAAGAAAATATTTGAGGTGACTATAATTGATAACATTATATAGTATAATTAAAATTTGCTAAGAGAGCAGAACTTAAAATGTTCACACACAAACACACTGACACACATCTGAAGTGATGGGTGTGTTAATTAACTGGATGGAGGGACTCCTTTCACAAATGTATATATATATCAGATCACGATGTACACTTCAAATATCTTAAAATTTTATTTGTCAGTTATATCTCAATAAAGCTGGGGAAAAATATTTGAAGATAATGTTAAACTGTTACTTGTTTACTTTTGATTTGAATCACTTTTTTGCCTACATGTTGCTATTTATGATTTTTTGAAGTTTTATTTAGATATAAGTCACATACCATACAAATCACTCACTTAAAATGATTTAAAGAGATTCTTCAACTGTGGTACCTGGGGATGAGGACTGTGGGAAAGAATGGCCCCTGGGGCCAGCCAGAGTTTCTTTCTAGGCACTTTCTCTGAAGTGCTGGGCCTTCTGCTAGTTTCTCCTTTCTTCAGACTCCTTTCCTTTCTCCCTCTTTTCATTTTCCAAAGCCTCCTGAAGTCTCTTTTATAATTGAGGTAAAATTCACATAACATAAAATTCATCATTTTAAAGTGCACAATTCAGTGGCTTTTAGTATATTCACAGTGTTATGCAAGCATCAGCACTGTCTAATTCCAGAATGCTTTCAATACTCAGCCAGGCAGTTTATAGCTCTGCCTTGGCTTTCTCTTCCTGTTTGTACTGAGTCAGCCAGAGGTGAGAGCTTAGGGCCTCTTCAGGTCTTTTCTGAGCATGTGCCCAGCCCTAGGTAACTGTGTGGACTTCTAGATTCCTAGGAATATGTGAGAGTTTTTCAAAGTCCCTATTATGCTAAGTATTTCATTTCCCAGACTTTCTTCCCAATCTTTTGGTTTGTATGTTGTTTGTACCAAACTATTATTCCTTGCCCCAGGTGGCAGTGGCTAATACGTTTGCCTTTAAATGTTTTTAGCAAACTCCTCCTTTCCTCCAGCCCTCAGCCTGGAGGAGTTAGGTGAAATAAAGGCAAGCCCTTTGAGGGGATCCACCCTTCAGGGAGTCACCAGATAGATCAAAACACACAGTCACAGTTCTTTGGGAATAAGTCCCTCTGGCACTAGGAACCCATAGCGCGAATACAAGCCTTGCCTTGTCAGAGCAGGGGATAGGGGGCAGGGTAAGGCCAGATGCCACAAAGCTCTCTTACTGAGATTCAACTATTCTTTTTTTTTTTTTAGCTGAGTCATCCTGCCACCTGTTGGCAGCTCAGCGGCAGCTCAGCTCAGGCCATGAATCGAACCGGCTACCCTGTTGCTTAGAGCTTACACTCTTGAGCGAGCTCTTAACCAACTGAGCCACTTGGCCGGCCCTTAACTATCTTTTTCTTGACTATGTTTGCCTGGTCACTGTAAACTTCTAATTAGTTTTCAGAATTTCAATAAAATTGATTCTGACAGTTTTTGCCAATTTGTCCACTGCTTTTATGGAGGGATGGGATTTAGGAATTCCTTATTCTTACATATTGTCGATGTCACCCTAATCAGTATTATTTTAAAATATCAAAATATTTTTAGTTGTAAGTGAAGGAAAACCCAACCCTAAACTGGCTTGAATGAAAGGTAAAATCAAGGACTCTGGTTTAATGTTAACTGGATTTAGATTCATTAGCATCTGGTGACTCTGAGACTCCATCTGGACATGGCAGGGGCAAAGGTTTCAGCCTCATATTCTCTCAACCCCCAAATTGTCGAGCTGCTTTTCTGGTATTTCCTATAAAAGCCCTGACCCCCATTGGATCTGATTAAGTCATATGGACATCTCTAAATCAATCACTATGGCCAAGGGAGTACTGTGCTCTGCCTGACTTAGGTCTGAATCAGTTGCTCCATCCTTTTATGGTCAAGGGGGAGGCCTGCTCCCAACACATGGACAGAGAATGGGAAGTGGTAAAAATGGAGATCAGATGGGGTTGAGGGAGAGACAGAAAGTAAATGTCCTGTGTTGTAACCTTTGAGAGCTCCATATGATTCTTTCTAAAATGTTTCTGGTGTCTGGAGCTGAAAGAACTTAACACTCCTGCAGCCTTATTGCAAGATTGGGGTACTAGTGAATTCTTCTAATTTAAATTGGGGTCATCTTGTGGAGTTCTAGAAACCCAAGAATATACTGAACTCTTGGAAACTTGTTTTAAAAGAATAATAAGATGATCCAGTTGGGTGATTTAATTTTATTATTACAGATGTGAAAAAAGTTTCTTTGAAGCTAGAGATCTTCGCCAGCACATGAACAAACATCTTGGTGTGAAGCCATTCCAGTGCCAGTTTTGTGATAAATGCTATAGTTGGAAGAAAGATTGGTATTCCCATGTGAAGTCTCATTCTGTCACTGAGCCTTACAGGTGGGTAACTTTGAGGAGGATCTGGACTTAATTGAGATACATATGTACTTGGATTAGTTCTTATGGATACTGATGCTTTTAGGCTTTTTTAAATCTCTATTGTAGATGTAATATATGTGGCAAAGAATTTTATGAAAAAGCGTTGTTCAGAAGGCATGTGAAGAAAGCTACCCATGGGAAAAAAGGGAGAGCAAAGCAAAACCTGGAACGGGTGTGTGAACGCTGTGGAAGAAAATTCACTCAGCTGAGAGAGTATAGGAGACACATGAACAACCATGAAGGTAACAACACATGTAACATATATTATCGATAGATATAGAACAAAAGCCAATCCAATGGTGATTCTCCCTTTGTCAGCCCTCCTGTCTGTTACCTCACCTTCCTTGATAAGAGATTTATCCTATATCATGGAAGATTTTTTCAAGTGATAAAGGTGATCCTAAACCTGATTTAGTGAGCTTAATATTCTCTAGCAACATTTTTATGGACAACTTGGAGTCTCTGTTTCCTGATCCTACAATTATAGGATTGCTGTGAAGGTTAAGTGAGACTATACACGGAAACTCAGAATTGTCTCTCAGTAACCTTTATCCACAGACACATCTTTTGAGAATTACAGTGCAGAATCTGGTTTGTTCTAAGGTAATCGATGGGTCCTAAATAAAGGATTGCCATAGTCAAGATAGAAAAGCTTATGGGCTACTGTACTTAAAGAAAAACATTATTTATCAGGCCATTTTAGTATATTTTAGTACTTGCACCTCACCAAACACACCTCTCCTTTTCTTTTTTTAATAGGGGTTAAGCCATTTGAATGCTTAACATGTGGAGTAGCTTGGGCTGATGCCCGATCCCTAAAACGCCATGTCAGAACACATACTGGTGAGCGGCCCTATGTCTGTCCGGTATGTAGCGAAGCCTACATAGATGCTCGAACACTCCGTAAACACATGACAAAATTCCACAGAGATTATGTGCCTTGCAAAATTATGCTGGAAAAAGATACCCTTCAGTTTCATAACCAAGGAACTCAAGTGGAGCATGCTGTGAGCATCTTAACAGCAGACATGCAGGAACCTGAAAGCAGTGGTCCTCAAGAACTTGAGACTGTGGTAGTGACAGGAGAAACTATGGAAGCTCTGGAAGCCGTTGCAGCTACCGAAGAGTATCCGTCTGTATCTACACTTTCTGACCAAAGTATTATGCAAGTGGTTAATTATGTGTTGGCACAACAGCAAGGACAGAAGCTCTCTGAGGTTGCAGAAGCTATTCAAACTGTTGAAGTAGAGGTGGCACATATTTCAGAAGCAGAGTGAATATAGTAATGGAGATTGAAAAAGTGCCATCTCATGTATACTGAACTCACAGAACATTTGTTTACAGTACTGTGTGTCTCTCCACAGGGAGTTTTTATGTCAAGACTCTGGGCTGTTCGGTGATGTTTCAACATTTCTGAATGGTTTGTCTGGGTTCTGTAGAAAAGTCCATTTACTTTAAAGGAATTGAAAGCAAATCTGTTTGATAGCAGTGGTTTATCATGGTATACTTTTTTTGAATTGTTTGTAAAGGACTGTAGTAAATGAAAAACTACATTTTCATTTGCATTTTGACCTTATTATATACTTTGAGTTTAAAAGGCAGCACCAATCAGCTTTTCTTCATTTTTATTCTCAAAATATAGAAGTTTTGTGATTTCATTTGCCATTATGGATTTTAAAAATTTTAATATAAAGCATTTTAGTAGGATGCATAGGTATATTACATTTTTTAAATGCTTCAGATCTGTGATTCTTGACTTACTATTTATTTTAAGCCCTTATAAGTCAGGGATTCTTTATTTAAAGCACTTAATGTTGTAATCAAGTTTGCACAATATTCTTATCTATCTGAGGAACCCTTAAATGAATAGCTGATTTTTTAAATGCCATTAAAATGCATGAAATGCCTATTAAAGCCTTACTGTATTATCTCCTCAAGGCAAGTAAATTGACCATGAGCAAAGAACCCCGTTATTAAGTACTGTGGATGGGAAATTCCTCCTTGATAACATAGGGACAACACATGGGAGGGAAGTAAGGATCTCATTCTTTTACTGACGAATGACAAGTTAAAACTAGGTTTGGTATGTTTGCAGCTTTTGTATCATGTTTAATTGTTCAATTTTGTTGAAAAACTGCATTTTAGAAATAGGATAACAATATAGATATCTACAGTGGTCCTGTAGATACCATATAATTGTCAAGTAATTTCAGAATTCTGGAAAGTCTTTAATTTAGCCCTTATTATAGTATACTACTTAAAAGAAGTTAATTGATTATGGTCTACCAACTTGTTGAAAGTAAATTATTTTTAAAAGTTACCTGAGAATTATATTAATTTGCGTGTCTGCTTTTTAAATTCCCACCTCTTTAAGCTGTCCAATTTTCTGATTGTTAAAATAACCATGGGGAGATGCCATATTTCTCTCCTGGAAAACTACCACTCAAGCTATAATTGTTAAAAGTAAACTTTTAAGTATTAAAAGCAAATATAAGGTATAAACAAGATATAAGTAAATCAAATGTAAATCATTCCTAAAGCACAAGAAAAGAATGTGCCTTGATGTATATATATTAAGATACGCGTACTTATTTCATTTACTTTAAAAATGGCTTAATAGAAAAAAGAATAAATGTGATGCCATGCATGCATTATACCTGCATATGTAATATTTGCATTTGCAAATTTCTTATTTCAATACCTGTGTGGCTGACTTTCAATTTGAAGTGAATTGACATACAGTCTATGACTTTATAATGGCTGTTTGTTTATTGTATTTTTCAGTTAGTGAAAATGTATTTCAACCTGACTAAAATTTGGAATTGTGTCCTTTATGTTCCATCCTCACCATTGTTATTAGATTTAGTTAATTGTATATGACCATTAATGTATGTCATAAATATGTAAATAAAAGATGTTGAATCTTGTTTTAAAAGCATAAGCTTTGGAGTTGAATGGGTTACTGTTTTCCATTTATATGGGTTATTTAATACGATTAAGTTATTCCAGTTTTAAAAGGAAGGGGAATTGAACACATTAAAAAATAACCATTGGGAAGGACCGGCCGAGTGGCTCAGTTGGTTAAGAGCTTGCTCAAGACTGCGAGCTCTGAGCAACAGCGATTTGAGTTCCATCCTGAGCTGAGCAGCCACTGAGCTGCCAACAGGTGGCAGGATGGCTCAGCTTAAAATAAATAAAATGAATAAATAATAACCATTGGGGAACACATAATATTAAAACTTATTTATTTTTTTTTAATTGGGGAATTGAGGGAAGGGAACAGACAAGTTGCTGTCCTTTTCTTCAGTCTAGTTGTGGAAGACGTCGCTTCATTGGCCCATGTTGGTATTATCATTGCACTCCTCCCAGGTGAGGCAGATCAGTCGCCGGCCACTGGACGTCTGCTCATGGCTGCTCACAGCAGCTCATGCTGGCTGCCAGCCGCTCACACCAGCTGCCAGCCACTCAGTAGCTTACGGCAGCTCACTGCAGCTCCACTGCAGCCTATGCCGTCGCCGGCGACTGACGGCAGCCCAGCTCCAGGTCGAGCTGTTGTTCACCTTCTTAGCTGTAGAGGGCACAGTATCACTGGCCCTCATGTGGGATCCGAACTGGGGCTCTGCTGCTAAGAACTGGCGTACCAAGCCAACTCCTAACCAACGCGCCACTCTGCCAACCCTTGTTATATTCTATTAACTATTATTTTAGTAGTTAGCTTAGATATCACATTCAATCCTTAGCACAGTTTTACTTATGGGCATACACTTTATGAGCTGTAGAGCGATGTAAGTTCAGGTATATATCAACTACATTCAACAGATGTGGGAACAGACAAAAGAAGCGAAAGTTTATCAACTCTCATACCAATGGCACTTACCATTATACAGTCAGGCTTGATGCAAATATCCTAGTTCCCCTTGAAAACCCTCTCCTGACGCAAATATCCTAGTTCCCCTTGAAAACCCTCTATGGATTTTCAGTCATCTGACTTACCTAAATTATGGCAAGAGGTTTTTCTTAAACTTTAAAGGTTACGCTGTATATATTTGTCAATTTTTTTTGGCTGGGGAACGGGGCTCCTTAGCATCTACCATTTTTCCACGTACCTATGTCCACACCCCATCATATGGGATGCTTCCATTTCTTCCATTAATTCAGCCACTGCATTCCTTAGCAATGCCTCTCACTTGTTACTTCTATCCCATTACTGCTAATCACTGTTATCATATAAACTCATACATGCAGCGTACTACCAGTGTTTTGAGTTTCTTAGCTGCCATGCTTGCCCTATTTTCCTTTCTGTCTTACACACATTACTTCCAAATTAATATTTGAAACTGCCCTTTATCTTGGAAGTCCCCGGTTTTCTAATGGCTCTGTGAATATAGCAAACAAATCACAATAGGAATGAAAGTATGTATGTGACAAGAATTTTATCGTAATTCTCCATTTCATCATGGTGGCACTACACAGTACCCCTTATTTTAAGAGTTGGCATGGAATAGTAAATGTTTCTTAAGTTACTCTTACCAGAGAAAGGCCCAGTAAGTCATACATATGATTCCCAATTTTTTTCCTTGGAGCATTACATAGACAATGCCTATCGCAGAATTCAAATAGGATAGAATAAAAAGAAACACTTTTTTAGAATCAGGTGGGCAAATGACACTTTCTTCTCAAAGTGGCCCTTTGAAAATAACCGCTTCAATCTTGTTTGGGGAAATTTGCTGGTATTAATATATACTGATTATTGTCCACACACAGCATTACAGTAATGTTAATATTATAAAAGGGGGGAGCATATCCAACTGAGTATTACTTATATTGATGGTGAAGCGAGGTACCTTTTGAATCAGTCATACCACTGCTCACCCTTTGATTTCTAAAAAAATAAACTTTATTTTCTTAGAGCAGTTTTAGGTTCATAGCAAAACTGAGTGGATAAGTACAGAGTTCCCATATGATCCATGTCCCCATACATACACCTTTTCATTCTCAATTGCATCTTCAGTTAATTTGCTTTAATCATCTGCAAATATTTTAACATCTAATTAGTACTTGCATTCTTTCAATGTTACTTTCTTTGCATTACTTAAGTGTTCTGCTGCTTGTTTTGATCTCTTTTCCCCTAGGGTATAATAGGTTATATATTCTCTCAATATATATTATATAGAAACTTAGTTTTATTTTCAGTTATGATTACATGGATTCATTCAGTTTCCATTGACCTATTTAAGTTTCACATCAACTATGATTTAGTTATGGAATTCTAAAAGCAGGAATAAAATAACTCCAGGTGTATGACTAGCATGAGATCAGAATGTTAGATTTTGAGTGAAATTCACTTGCAGTGTATTTGGATAACTTATCAGTGATACAGATATACAAGAGTTCAAGTAACTGTTCTTGCAGTCAAGTTATGGTGGTCATCCTTGATATTTACATAGTACACAACAGTTTTCATATTTTCTAAATATTAAGCAATTGAATTCAGTGGATACTGTAGACAAAATGTTCCCAAAGAGGACTTACTCTTAGAAAAAGATTTAGGATAACAGCACATTTTTATTATATAAAAAAGTGCACAGGTATGAATAAGTTCTATGTCCCTGTGCAATAATTAAGTGGATGTCTATTGTGATGAGGCTCAAGGCTGGTGGTCTGAGAAAATTCTCACATATCTGAAGCCCTAGCCTGACAGCTATCCTAATTCACTTTATTTAGAGATACCTCCACTCCTCACCCCTTTCTCCAATTATCAATGTAGGATCAGTGTAGGAAATTTGGAAAGTATGTAGGAAACGAAGTAAAAACTGAAAACAATAATTATTGTTAACCAACAATGGATTCCCGCAGGAATAGAATATCACCAGGGATAGTTCATGCAAAAGTTGAATCAAGGAGTTTCCAAAATTTGTCTTCATTGTGACAGGCAGCTTGGTAACCAGCTCTTCCATGCAGCATCCATACCTTCTCCCCAAAGATCTAAATTTCGGCCTCTAGGCCCCTCTAAGATGTCTTTCCTTGCTCACTTATTCCCTTGGCCCTAAGGGTGATAGTTTCTTCCTGCAGTTGCTACTTCTGCTACTGCTGAGAGTGCTCATGTTAACAATCTATTTATTAAAGGTTTCCCTCATTGATTCAATGCTGAAAAAGCCTTTGACAAAATTTAATACCCATTCCTGATAAAAGCACTTAATAGGAATTGGTGGATATTTTTAACACGACAAAATGTTTACCTTAGTCCTAAAGCCAGCATCTTATTTAATGGTAAAACACTGGAGACATTTCCACTGAGAAAAAGAAGGTCAGGATGCCCATTATTTCTACTACTATTCAACACTGTACTACAGGTATTAAGCAATGCAATTCGGAAGAAAAATAAATTAGAGGCACAAAAATTGTTAAGGAAGTAAAACCATCTCTAGTTGCAGCTGATATAATGATGCACCAGGAAAACTTTAGAGAATCAATGATAAAATGCAAAAATAAAAGAATTCAAGAAGATAACAAGATACAGAACACACATAAATTAATTGCCTTCATAGCCTAAAACAATAACCAGCACACAATGATAGAGAAAACCCCATTTCAATAACAACAAAGATTACATACTTTAGAAATAAACTTAACAAGAAATATGCAAAAGCTCTTTGAGAAAAACTTAAAAACACTCCTGAAAGAAGCTAAATCATATTGCTCTCAATAAGGATGGTTTCATATCATAAACCTATCACTTAACTAAAATTAGATCCTGATCTCACAAATGCACAATATACTCCAAATGGATCAGGAATCTATTTAAATTTTAAAATGAAATAATACAGCACTAGAAAAACATGGGTAAATTCATCAATAATGTAAAATCAAGAGGCAGTAAAAAATTAATAAACTGTGCTACATAAAAAATTCAACCTGACTCATAGCTAGAGGTACAAAAGAAACTACTCTGAAATATTTTTTTTAACCTATCAGATTTGACAAAAATTAAAAAGCATGACAAACACATTCTGTTGGCAGGGCTGTGGAAAGAGGCACTCTCATACATTCCTAGTGGGAAAATAAGCTGGTACAATCCTTTTGGAGGAAAATTGGGCAATATCTAACAAAAGTACATATGTAGTTATATTTTGACCCAGAAATTCTACTTCTGGGAATTTACCTGAAGGAAGATACATTCCAACAATATGAAAATACACATGCACAATGGTTATTAAATTATAGCATTGTAATGGCAAAATATTGGAAATGATCTAATGACCTAAATGCCCATATACAGAAGAGTAATTGCATAGACAATAGTATATTCACACAATGGAGTACTATGTGGCTGTTAAATTTTTTTTTTTTCAGAAGTTCTCCATGAACTGGTAGTTTCTAGGGTACACTGCAAAGTAGAAAAAATAAAAAATGTAAAAGCGTGACTATAATATGCTATCTTTCATTAAAAAAGAAAATAATAAACATCCATCTATTCATAGATTCAAGAAGAAACTGGATAAATCAGAAAGCATATAGATTAGCTATAGGTAATTAGGATAGAAATGACAAGAGAAAGAACAAGACAAAGAACAGGGAGGTTGACAATTTTTGTGTAGTTCTAACTTTTAGAACTATGCTGTTTCACATACAAAAAAAATTAACAAGAAACGGGCGTTCATTATGAAATACAAACTAATTCCATTACAAATGAGTAACATAACCATTCTGAAAGGGGGAGCTGAGAAATGAACTAATCTACATAACTGTAAAACAATATTTTGATTATGTACTCTAAGACTAAAAAGAAAAGGAACTATACAAAATACTGCACTGGTTAGTAGTTGTTTTTCATAGGGAAATATATGGATTAGTAATTCTGAAAACTGTGTATTCTAGAAAGTTTAGTGAACACATGGAGAGTCCAAGTCAGATTTCTTACTGTTGGACGGGAGTTATACAGAAAGGAGGAAGACTAGAATGAACTTTGTGGTGTTGGTCTGGTATTGGACATATCAACATGGAGTCATGGAGATACACACATATAACAAGTCAGACAATTAAGTTCGTGAACTCATCCTAGAAAAAGTGCTACATACCTCATTGATGAAAACCCCTACCATCACCTTTGAAGTACTCCCCTTGGGAAGCTATGCACTGACGCCAGCGCCTAGTCCACCCTTCAAAGCAGTTTTGGAACGTTTTCTGGAATGGCCATCAGAGCTGTCCTGAATGTCATCAAAATGTCTTCAATATTTCCTTTATCTTCAGGTAAAGAAAGAAGTCATTTGGGGCCAGATCAGGTGAGTAGGGAAGGTGTTCCAATAGTTGTTTACTGGCTAAAAACTCCCTCACAGCGCAGTGAGCTGGTGCATTGTTGTGATCCAAGAGCCATGAATTGTTGGCGAAAAGTTCAGGTTGTCTAATTTTTTTACTCAGCCTTTTCAGCACTTCCAAACAATAAACTTGGTTTAACTGTTTGTCCAGTTGGTACAAATTCATAATGAATAATCCACCTGATATAAAAAAAGGTTACCAACATTGTTGCAACTAATTCACAAACTTAATCATCAGACATATAGATCTAGAAACATCTAGATGTGTACATACATACATTTTCTAGCTCTGGTAAGCGGGCTAGAAGAAATACCATCTCAGTACCAATGACTACTACACTAGTGCCGATTTTTGATTTCTGAATACCATTCTCTAGTAAAAAGAGCCACGGATGCTTAGGAAAATCAGATTCCAGGGCTGGAGGAGGGAAAATACAAGATGAGTCCAGAACATCTACTTGGACATGTCAAAAAGATATGAGATCAACTGGAAGGAGTCGGCATGGGCAAATCTGGGACATTTTGAGTAACAAAATAAATTCTTGTAATGGGTTATATAACCTATAGAATAACAAGAAAATTTGGGTCCATTATCAATAATTGAATAAAGAACAGGGAAGAAAATGTCCTCATAGAATTTCCACTACTAAAAGTAAAAGGAATGATAGAAACAGAATCATTTGGCAAGCAGTACACTAAAAATTGGTAAGAACCATTTGGGGTGGGGCATGAATGCCTGACAATAGTGGGCAAAAGTGTGACGTGAAATAGGAATTTTACATAGTCCCAAGAATTTCCCCACAAGATACTTATTAACTGCAAACCCCAAAGTAAGAAATCTTTTACAAATAACTGGCCTATGCTTTTCAAAAAGTCTAAGGTCATGAAAGACAAAGAAGTATCCTAGATTATAGGAGCTGAAGAGAGATGACAACTAAACACTGTGTGATAATGAAGTGGATCTTCAACTAGAGAGCGTTAGTGGAGCAAATGATGAAATCTGAATAGTCTATAGAACAACAGTATAATAAAAATATTGCAATGTCAATTCCCTGATTTTGACCTGTGGTTGTGTAAGATGTTAACATTTGGAGAACATGGAAATACTTTATAATATTTTCACAGTGTTTTGTAAGTATGAAACTTTTTCAAAATGAAGTTAAAAAAATTAAAAAGTATCTTCACTTGACCAGAAAAGTTAACTTTAACAATCCCTTCACAGTATGTCAAGCTAATCTTGATTGTTAAAGAAAAAAACACTTGAAACTCACAGCCTTCGTTTGTAATTGGTTGAACTAGGTTAAGACTCATAATTCTAAAACGTATTCAATCTTTTTGTTTACTAAGACCTGACTTATTGGGCTGCAGCATTATAAACATTAAAAAACTATAAAGAACTAATGGATGGTAGTGAGAGAATACCTTCGAACACCTAGGGATTTTCAAAGATATGCCAGGGCAGGATCTTCTGCAGCACAGAACGGACAACACTGGCAGTGGAGGAGGAGGACAATGCTATAGAACTGAGTGCTAAGTTAGGTAGACTCCAATGCATAAGAATTTAACATCTCCCATTACTTTGGCCAACAATCTGGGCAAAAGCAACAATCATAACATTTGTTTCTTCTTTGTTAAAAAAACCCCAAAAAAACACACACAAGAAAACAAAAAAACCCAGTAACAATGAAGTGGAATAGAAAATAAGAACACTATTGAGTTTGACAAATTTATTGGTTACTTTAGTAAAGACATTCATCTCAGTCGTTTCTCTCTCCCATCTTGACCTTATGTTAATATTTCAGTTGAGTCAAGAAGAGTATGTAGGAGAGGGATGTTATTTCAACATAAACAGTAAAAGGGACAAAAATGAAAAGTTTGCCTACATTAAAGCAAGTTAAGTTCATGTATCTTGATATAATTAAATCATGTAATAAGAGCTAATAGTCCCATCACATTTCCATTGTTTTATTATACTTGGGGCTTACTCTAACTGTAACTGCATGTGAACAAGTGTTAGGAATATATACAGGCTGCTTCTCTTATTACCCATTAAAAAAGCTGAGTTATTACCTAGTTACCACCATTAAGACAGTCTGAAGCTGCCCGCAAATATAACAGTAATTTTCAAGGAAATGATTATACAGCATTTTTCTTTTATCTATGACTGTGCCTTTAAAGATGTGTTTAACTGTCACATTAAAAAAGAATTCATATACAAAAATACAAAAAGAAAAAAAACAAAACAAAACCCTATAACACACAGCTCTAACAAAGTGGTCGAAGATTCCATAAAATGTTTCAAGATGCATTTTCTTTCCTTATATTTTCAGTACCTAAAACGTGCTTTTGAGAGGCCATAGTTAATATGTATACACTGAAACCATATTATTGTACTAAATAAAAATTCCTATAGTAAGTTCAAATCAAATTGGATTTCACAAGTAACTTAAAAGTTTTGACAAAGTTACAGAAAGTGCATCTTTCTCATTTTCCATCTTCATACAATGCTGACTTTTTTGGTGTTTGTTATCTTTTAAAAATAAAAACAGCCAAATATTTAAGTACTATGTACATTTAAAATTTTTGGTGGTGGTTTGTATTTTAAAAGAAACAGCTTCCTTATGACTTGCCTCAGGTTCTGGTGGCAAAGCTTATAGGAACTAACTATGACAAAAACCAAGAGAAGCACATTCAAAATACTGATTTACTTTGGTAGCAAATAGTTGTTCTTTGAAGACTAATGAAGGTAGACAAGACCCGTTAGGTGAAGTGGCCTATTTCAAATACTTAACAGTTTACATAAAATTTTAAAGTGTTTTTTTTTTCTTTTTTAAAGAGCTAAGCATCTGTATCCACTGATAGCAATGCAATATCTAATTTATGACTTGTAACAAAACAAATGCCCAGTAGGAAAAAAAGCAATATTGTATCTTTATCTAATTTACTTTCAGTCAATAAGTCCAATAACATATTCTTCCCAACACAATACTCCCTTCTCTATAAGGCTGTTCCTGGGAGCCAGAAAGTTTAGGTTAATGAGGAAGTTAAGGTAGACAGTAATTGCTTGCAGTTTAAACAGACAATAACTTTTTGCTTCTGTCTTAGTGTGCTAATAGTTGTCTAAAAAAATATGCAATTCTTAAAAAGGTACCATTTCTGATTTTTTTTAATTATCTGTAACCTTTGGAAACTAATCACATGAAACTACAAAATTAGCAAATGTCCTGAAATCTGTATATAAAACATAAATTACCTCTAATTTCAAACTCTCATTTATTAGTGTACCACTCAATCTTAAAAAAAAAAAAGGCGGCTCCAAAGATATAGTCTTATACCATTCTTTAAAAAGGAAACTGTTCCTTTTAACTTTACACCCACCCCACACCCCAATTTCAAAACACATCATTTAATTGTCTTGGTCATGGACATTTCCAAGATGAGACTTTATATTCCGCTCCCATAGCTTCTGGTTATCAGAAAACCCATGTTTTCCTTTATTGAAGGAGTTTGGTCCTGCTGATGTTGGTGTATCCCTGTGTTAAAAGAAAAGAAATTTATTTAAAATGTTATATAAAGCCTTTTGGGTCATGTTTCTCATTCAAAATACATTTAGCAAAGGCTGAACATCAGAAGCCCCTACAGAGCTTTTTAAAAACATATTTTATTTATTTTACTTTATTATTTTTTTTAATTGGGGAATCGGGGGAAGGGGAACAGACAAGTTGCTCTCCTTTTGTTCTTCAGTCTAGTTGTGGAGGACGTTGCTTCACTGGCCCAAGTTGGCACCATCATTGCTCTTCTCGGGCGAGGCAGATCAGTCCCTGACTTCTGGACAGCCGCTCACAGCGGCTACTGGCCGCTGGCTACACAAGGTAGCCCATGGCAACCCACTGCAGCAGTGGCTGCAGCCTATGCAGTAGCCGGTGACTCATGGCAGCCCAGCTCCAGGTCGAGCTGTTGTTCAGCATCTTAGCTGTAGAGGGTAGTGTCACTGGCCCTCATATGTGAGATCTGAACCGGGGCCCTCTGGTGTCCCAATCCAGCTCTTAACCACCGCGCCACTCGGCTGGCCCTAAAAACATATTTTACACAGACCCAGTCCTAAAATTTCAGATCAGTAGGCCTGAGGAGTGGCCAGGTAAATCTGTAGGTTTAACATTTAAGGTGATGCTGATACATAGCTAAGGGTGGCAACCACTATAGTTTTTAAAATTGTTATTTGCAACCCATTAATAAGGTCATGAGATCAATTTGATGGCTTGCTGTCAGTGTTTATAAAAAAAATGAAATAGAAGAAAAACATGAAGATGTATCACATATGGAAGACTCAGGTCCTTTTAGGAACTCTGTTTCAACATCACATGTTTAGATACATGTATACTGAGTGTTGAGATTGGGTAACAACATCAGATGTATTTCTTGGTTAGATCACAGTATGAAAGGAAGGCGCTGGGACCTAAGTCCCACTGGGACTGTTCCCATTTGAATCCTATACCAAAAATCTGAAAACTAATGCTTGTTTATGGACTTAGCAATTAGTTCTTTGGGAATTTAAACATTTGGTAGAAATGGGGACTTTAATGGGTTTATCTGAAGCTGAACTTTCTTACTAGCCTCTAAGTTATCCATTTATGCATACAAAGACAGGAAACAGAACAACAGCATATTAAAGTTATTTCCATGACAATAGAAACAATGAAGGAAAATAAAAAATATTTTGTCTTATTTTGGTATCTGGCATCTAAGTTACCAAGGAAAAAAGAACATTTTCAATCAAGATTAAGTGGTAGGAATGATATAAGTGAAATGAGTGAAAACCGTTTCTTTCTATATCAAAAAAAAATTTAAATTTAAATCTTAAATCAGACATTTCTCATAGCTATTTCTTATTTGAAAAAAAAATATACAGATTACATGTATCTGAAAAGAAATAGCTTAAGTTGTTATTTTATTAAGATACTCATTTTCTCTTACCGGGAGAGAAAATAATATCACTGATAACTCACAAAACTATTTGCCCAAATACACAAGAAAAGCCTGAACACTAAAAGATTATGTGCAATTTATTCTTGCTCTTAATTCACTAACATTTTCTACAGTATTTATGAAAAATTATAATACCTTCCAATATTCTTCATTCTCATCTTTGCTTCTGGAGGCATTTCCTCTGGTTCACTCTGGAGAAAAAAAGTAAACAGAGATGACTGCATATCGATTTATTAAATTCACTTAATAACGAATATGCTAAATTTTATATCTAAGTCTTTTAGGATTTTCAATACTGTAAATTTTGGTTAAGAGGAGAAAATTACCTTTACTTTTTTAAAATTACATTTAAAAAAAATGCATATCTTCTGGTGTGCTGATTTTACATTTTTTAGAAGTTTGGTATAAACTTGATATTTTAAAACTAAAACCATTTGTTTATTACGTGCTACACATTGTGGTAAATGTTTTAATATGCACAACTTTAAAACCCTAACAATCCTACAAGGTGAGTATAATTACCATCATTCCTTACTATTTTTCCCTACTTATAGCTATTGAAAAGATATGTTTCAAGTCAAGTTCCTTTTAGGTATGTTTTTATGTATAAATGTTGCTGCTGAGCTAAATATTCTTTTTTAAAAGGGTGTCCTTAAGATTCAGCTTAAAGGGTTTCTACTAGTCAAATGTGGAAGCATTTGAGCTTTCTAGCCTGTTAAAAAAAAGTAAGAACCCATGAGCCTACACATGAAAATAAAGAAAAGCTCATCTTTACTTTAAGAGATAAACATAAAAGAGATGAAAGAATTAGAAAAATCATCATTTGGCAAACATAATTGATTCTGGCAAGAATCACCAATGGATGTTAACACTCATGACTAAGTGTTTAAGAAATTCTATTTTCACATATTCTCAAACCGTATCCCCAAGATAAATTTTAATTAGAAAAGGTATAACAGTCACTTGACAGCAGAGAAATCTAGCAGGTATCACTTTAACCAAATGATAAAGTTAACACTGCCAGTAATGGGACATGCTGACAACACGTGCTCCCTGATGCACTGAGAACTTGGAATCACTTCTGTGGTACTCCTGCCAGGAGTGTGAATCTAATCATGAAGAAACATCAGACGAATTCAAGCTGAGGGGCATTATACAAAATAACTGGCCTGAACTCTTCAAAATGTTAATGCCATGAAATACACAGAAAGACCCAAGAATTGTCCAAATTAAAGGAGACTAAATAGATACAATTAATTTCAAAATTAATTAAACTGGACAAATTATATTTGTCCAATATATTTCAGGCTCAGATTACTCAACTATGTTCTACAGAAAAAGAAAGACCCAGATGAAGGTTTTAGATACATGTGTTGTTTTATCTATGAGACAAGTTTACCCTTCATTATCATTACCATCTTATAGCAGAGTGTTGTCTGAACCTGTCCAAAATTTCTTTAAAAAAAAAGTTAAAAAAAAAAAAAAACAGTAAGGGAGGATGCAAAGAACAGAGGGGTAGAAACCACAAGACTTAAGTTTTAGTTCAACACTTGTGTGCATTAGCAGATACTTATGCATACTTTACTTAATTTCTCCATTCCCAAAATAGAAATAACTATATCATATAATTCACAGGGATATATGGAGAGCAAAATAAAGTTATGAGAAAATATACCCAAATTGTTAGGTATTCAAAGTAAGCCATTACTATTATGTAGATGCTTACCATTTCTCTACTTTTACACATGTTGTTCCCTTCTTCCTATATTGTCCTTCCCTCATACAATCTGTACATACCAAAGTGCTTAATAATATTAGAGATGGTTTTAGAGGTGACAGAAAACTTTAAATATGATTCAAGATAGTGCTTTTAAAAACTTTTTTTGGGGAGGTGGGGTAATGAAATACTCTCTTTCCAGAATAAAATCTTACTTGGGTTCCCAAATACCAGACAGATAAAATAATCACTATAAGTGAAATGGGCAGGAGGCCAGGGCCCTGCTTGTTAGGTATCACCTAACTGCACAGTAGCTCCTGAGACATACCCACAGAACCCCAGAACTCTTGGAAAAATAGTTTAAAATTCTGTGCTCTGAGTTGAGCTTTCATTTTACAGTTTAAAAGCTAAGGCTCCACAAAGGTAAAATGATTTATTCACAGGCTTTCTAGTGGTTAATAACTGGACAAACAGGAAGAAAAAAATCCAGATCTTCCCACTGCCAGTCCAGTGGTCTTTCCATGTTGCTCCATCTATTATTCGTACCCAGCCTCTCTTCCTTTCCTGAATTTCCACATCATCTCTTCAGGCACTGGTGATTTTTTGTTTTGTACTATTCTATGTATGAATCTCTGCCTATTACTAGACTGAGTTTCTACAGAACTATGTCTGATTTATGTTTGTAATCTCACTGTGTGTACCATTACAGAAAGCACTCAAATGTGTAGAATGAGTAAATGTCCAAAGGAGAACACAGTGATCATCACAGTAATTCTTTACCTACTGATCTGGGCTCCAGTCATTCCACATTTATTGTTGCCCAAAACTCCTCTACCAATACCTCCAGTCCAGTCAAATGCAGGAGCTCAGGATTTATCACTTGTGATTTGAAAGCCAATGTCTTAGTTTACAAAAGTATTCCTTGGTTTCTCAAAACCCTGCCTAATGTTTTAGTGCCCAACTCATGTTTCTGCTCTTATATATTCTTCCCAATCGCTCCTGTGCCACAGTGTTTGTGCGCTTCTGAATGTATAATTCTTATCTAGATTCCTTATGGCAGCAATTACTCATATACCCCGTAACACTTAATTGTTATACAATGGGGTCACATCTTAAACAGGGGTTAGGTTCTAAAGTCAAAGACTAAGGAAAAAAATCGGTCAAAATTACACTTAACATTTCATATGTCATTCTTAAGCATGGTAAGAGGGGGACACTGTAAAGGGCATGAGGGAGCTAGGACTGCCCAAGAGAACAGCAGATAAGCACTGCATGCTTACTCTGGATTATGTACTTATTGAGTAAAATGAGCAGAATCACCTGCATTGTTTGTTATTCTTCATGGGGCTAAAGGGAGAAAACACTAGAGCTGCCTTTTGCAAGTTGAATGCATATATAATGTCTCATCACTGAAGACTTCAACTATAAAATTAAAGGCGGCAGTACTGAATTTTTCTTTTTTTGCATACTACATACTTCCTAGTACAGACTTAATTATTATTCATAATATGCATTTGTTGATTTGATTCTTAAGTTCCTTGCCCCCAGGATTAATAAATTTTAAATAATCCTACAACCAAACAAAATATAGTAATATCCAGATTTTGCAAGTGTCACAAAAAGAACTCAGAGTTGCAAAGGAAATTTACTAGTACCATTAAGACAACCTACAATTGCCAGTAACATCTTCCTTAAAGAACTGGTTAAAGTAACATAAACAAAACTAGTTGTCAACTTACATCTTCATCTTCATTAAAAGCTGCTGCTACTGAAAGGGTTTTTGGAGCAAGAGTTGGAACAGTTTCTTTAGGCTTCTGAAGAAGAAACATATTACAGAGTATCACATAATGTTTATACAGCCTTGTTTAATATATAAATAATTTATCTTCAAAGATTCAACTTTGTTTACATAGAAACAATAGTAAAAAATTTAGAACAAACTCTGGATACATCCATTCTCTTTTTGAAAACGTGGGTTATCAATGGGTAGGTTTTACTACATTGTCCATTTATTTTCCTTCTGTAAAAGATTTTCTAGTTGGGACCTACAATTTAGTATCATTTAGCTAAGGGGTACCTGCTACAGGTAAGAGAAAATGATTAATAATACTTTCCCATAGTAACATTCAAGTACAGTGTGCCTTGGGCACATAAAAGACAAAGACCCATCTCTCTCTCTACTAGCTAGCTTTCTGCCCTTTGGTCTGTAAACATGCTTTAACCATACTATCTCTTTGCTATAACATAAGTTTTTGAAGTAAATTCTCCTTACTATCTCCAATCCTCTCATCACCCATTCAGCCTTCAACCCACTGCAATCTGGCTTCCTCCCTTATTCCTTCCATGATTCCTCATTCACCCAGAATCAGGTGACCTTGATTCTGTAGGATCACTAATGACTAGTGTGTGGCATTTGGCTCTATATCAGCTCTTTTTTGAAAACACCTGTACCCTGGCTTCTGTGACACTGCTTTTTATCAGCTATTCTCCTAATTCTCTGACCTTTTATTCTCTCTCCCCTCCCTTAGATGACAGATACTCAAGAGTCTACCATTAGTGACCTTTCCTTCTTTACACTTCCCTGGTCAATTTCATTCATTCCCAAAGTTTTAACTACCAAAATCCTATGTCTACCTCCAAATAGGATGTCATCTGCCCACTGCACAGAGGACAGCTCCACTTAGAGCTCCCATAGGTATGTTAGTTTCACAGTGTTTCTAAGTACCCAAGCCAGAAAATCTTTTCCTCTACTCACACAGTTTATTGTAAGGTTCTGATTAAATTTCTATTAAATAGACTTAAATTTCCCTCTGCCTCCCCATCATACTACCACAATACCAACACCTAAGGCCGCTTAGCATTACTTGCTTGAACTACTGTTAGAAACACCATCTCCCCACTTTCTACTTTTCCCCCCTTCTAATCCTCAATACTGAGTGATCTATACAGAGTGATGTTTTTTAAAATGCAAATTTAAGGAGCAAGACTTCTTATAATGTTCCATGGCTCTGCTAGAACCTAAAGAATAAAGCCAAACTATAATACGGAATACAAGCCCTTTATGATTTGGTCCGATGGTCTCAATTTGGGGGTTTTCTATTCTACATTTGCATTCCACACACTTTCCAACTACAATTTCCTGAATGCACTGGGTGGGTTTATATCTAAGCTGCCTTTCCATGAAATTCCTTTTATCTCAGATGCTCATTTGCCTCCTGCCTACACTTAAGGCCAACTCAAACATCACCTTATCAGTGAAATCTTCTCTGACCTGCTGAAATAAACTTACATTTCTTCTTCTTCTTCCATAACACACAAAAAATACTTTTTATAAACAATGTTTGCTTTTGAAGGAATAAACAATGTTAATTTGGAAATTATGCATAGTGATTCTAAAAACAACCTTTAATCTTTTAAAATCATGTATCTGATGTTATAGATACAACATAAAACACAAGTAATTATTTTTTGGTTGATCAACTATCTTTTCACATCATATAATCAAAAGCAACAATTTCAACTATTTTTTATACCCTACATGTCAATCCCCCAAGAAGATTGTTTACATGATAGTTTATTTTGAAAATGGGTTTTTGTTTTCCAAAGATTAAGTTTTATTGAGTAGGTTTTTTCAAACACAACCCTCCATTCTAATGTGATCAACAGTAATTAAATCATGTCAATGATTTAGAAAAAGCAGGGATTTGGATATCTGACTTAGGGGATATGTTGAACCACAGTAAAATTTATTATCAAGGGAAACATCTATATGAGAAGTGTACATGAGAACACGTTTAATGACTATCTGTAAAAGGTAAATATTTATGCAGTTAGGTCTACGCAACTTTTTAAAAAACTTAGGTTAAACAAAAAGGATCAGTTCGAACAGGGAGACTAGTCACTTCAAATAATGAAGTCACAAGATAAATGTCTTTTGTTCAGACTTAGTTTAAAAAAAAAAAGAAAAAGGCAAAACAGCATAGGGTGGGAGTTGGAGTTCTGAGCAATGACAGCTCTCTTAAAACTAGAAGTGTAGCTCAAACTCTAGGTGGAACCTGATTCATTATCTTACTTGTAAGATTTTTGAATGAACATCTAATGCAGAAAAAAGCTGTATGCATTTGGCAACACAGCATTAACTTTCACAGAACAGACATGAATAAATAACTCAAAAGGAATTTTAGGATTTTTTATCCTCACACAAGAATGTAACTATTTTCTAAAGCCAACAGCAATACACTATAAGTGACTTAAAGAAGAGATCTATTTGGTTGACCCATTTAAAATTGTCACTTTTATTGGTCAGAAAGAGTAAAATTTTTAAACCTCATGTCCTTCCATCTAATATTTCAAATACTTTTCTAATATTTCAAATACTTTCCAGACACTCCATGGTTCATAAGTATTAATTCAAGGTTTACATATTAAAACAAGGGGTCAAAAGTTCATCTGAAAAGTACTGTTACAGGGTATCAGTGTTCACTTGTAGCTCCAAAATAAGGTAATCAGGATGCTTTTCTTATCAAGCAATACCTTATAAATATTAATCTTCTAAGATAAAATAACTGACTGCTAGATATTTAACATGATTTTTTATTTTACTTTTATTGTGAAATACCCATTTTTTAAATGTTTCAGTTGTACAACACAGTGCAATAGTTATACTTTTTACCCCTCAAAGTGACAACCCTTACATTAACATTACTAGATTTAAAATAAGAAAAATAAGCTGAAATTCTTCCTGAAAATATTTTTCAGAGGTTTTGCTCAGCTTAGAAAAATTCTAAGCTATTACTTTATAATAATATCATCCCTATAATAGTTGTTCCTTCTCATATTCTAAATCTTTTTAAAAAATAACTTTGAGATATCGTTCATCCAGATCTTTCTTAAACACAGAGCTAATAACTTCTTAAATGCTTATATATATGAGCTAATGCACCCACCTACCCTTTTATACCTAATTTACCTAACCCAGTTAAAGCAAGTTTCCAAAACAAATTCTTAAGGCCCATTAAGAACAGCATATATAAAACAACAACTCACACTTGATCCAAGTTTGATGGATATGGCTGAGGCTTTCTTTGTCGTCTGACTACCTATGGCAAATCCAAACTTGGAGATCTTTGTAGGCTTTGTTGGGAAGTCTGCAGCTTCTTCTTCAGCTGATCGCTTCTCAGCGCTGCGACTGGAACTTTCCCCTCCATTACTGGAAGAAACAGTCTTAGTTTTCACAGGTTTTTCTGCTTCTTCTTCAGGTCCTGGTGAAGTCGAAACAACTTACCAAGATGAGCTATTTTTACTGAGCAGAGTGATGGGAGCAGCAACCTCAAAAAGCATCGTTATAAGGAAGATACCTCTGCAGTTGTCACCTACTGACCCAACAGTCTCTTCCACTGTTTGTTAAGAGTACACAGCAGGAAATGAGATTGTGTGGCAGTAGAAGAGGCTCCCATGAATTAACTAGCACAAAATACAGAGCAATTTAAACTTATAAACATAAGAGTTCACAAAAAGTAAAGGCCCTTCGACTTAACACTATTATATAAGTTGTTCAATAATTTAGTTATTTGTGCGATTTTGGTTTTTAAACTAAGGCCTATAAATTCTTCTACACAAACTAGTTTGTGAGCAATTAGTCACATCATAGGGATAACACATTTGACTAATAAATTCTAATATTCCTCAATAACGTACTATAGTTATACAAAGCACCTAGTTAATGAACAGCCCCTTATTACCTGACTACAATGTTAATCAAGTCTGGAGTATTTTTTTTGAGTGATGTGTTTCTCATGTACATCTCACACAATCTTTACTTGTAAAGGAAGTTCAAGGAAGATTTCAAGGTTACCACCTTTTAAGTAACTTAATTCTACTCTGAAAGCTTGGTTATCGCCTGTTTTAAGCTAATCTTAAGAGCCTTTAACAATCATACTTAGGTTTATACATTTTTTCTCATGAAAGAAAAATGAGCTAAGTGTAATTTGAAACAGTATAAGGCGCGCGCGCACACACACACATACACATATATATGTTTGGAATGTAAGATGTCTTTCAGTAATTTTGCTCGTTTGTATTAATCAATGATGAAATTAGGTCACATCTTGAATATCTTAGGTCTGTTGTACAAGGCTATTTAAGAACATACTGGGGCGGGGGGGAACATACTAGGAGGTAAGACAGAAGACTATTACTAAAATTTTTATTTTCTTTCCCCGGTTTACCAATTCACTCTATAGAATGTATTCTGCTACAATGGATAGTTTATTTATGGAGAAAGAGAATATGCTCTAAGGCAGGGGTCAGCAAACTGCAGCTCACGAGCACATGTGGCTCTTTGGGTACATACATGTGGCTCTGAAGTAAAATTGAAAATGAAAATAAAACTATCACAGTTTCATTTATAAAATTTTTAAAGGATATTATTCACATAATGGTGATTATGTAAAAATATATTTATGGCTCTCGAATAATTTTTCCTTTTTAATTTGTTTTTTTGTTCTTTAATTTTTTTTTTAGTTTTGTTTGTTTGTTTTGTGTTTTCTTTTGAATACTTTTTAAATTGTTGTGAGGACTGGCTCCTCCAGGGTTCGGCAAACTTTTGAGATGGAACGTACCCAAAGAACCGCAGTTTGCCAACCCCTGCTCTAAGGGATGGTCCTGTCAATAGCTAAGAAAGCAGGACAAAAAGCTAGAATCGGAGGGAAAGGGGGAAATTAAACACAAACAGACTGACAAGTAACAGGATGAAACACCGGAAGCTACAGATCTCAATCTATATGATTTTGGAATTATAGGGTCTCTAGTTAATAAGCACTTTGAACAGAACATTGGATTTTGTTTAGAGGAAAAATAAAAGAAACTCGTTATACCTTTGGACAACAGGTGAGAGTTGTAATGACAATGTAGGGGAAGAATTAAGCAGGGTTAGTTAGGTTTTGGGGATTTCCCCAGGAGGTGCCAATCACTTTAGATATGAAATTACAAAAGTACCTAAAGAATGAAAGATGCTATCAAAGGTTGAAATACAGAACTCAATTTAGAATTTCTTAAAAAAAACCAAAAAACACTATGCAAAATTTTTTCAAAGTCTATGTTTATAACTAAAATCATTTATGCTGAATTTTATTCTGCTTTCTATTTATAGTTTTAATCAGGCATGAAATTTAGAGTAAAACCTAAACAGTGATTAACCTCTCTAACAGCACTGGTGTGCAGCTTAAATGAGAACATATTCAAGACCCTCCTAGTGTCTGCCATAATAAATGTCAATTTCATTAAAGGATCTCAGGTAACCTAAAATGCCCTGAAATGACCCTGATTATAATATGAATAGCTCTTCTCTAAAATTTCTGTTTATTTCAAGGAATAACAAAAATTTAGCCAAAGGGAGGAAAAAATTCTACCTAAGCCCTCACCCTTAGCATTCTCTCTTCACTTTAAGGTGACAGCAGGTGGTTCAAGTACATAGCTTCTCTTGTTGACATAAATTTATGTTAACTATGGAAGTAATCTCATTAAAAAATACTCATACTTCCAACTTACTGGATTGTTCAATAGGTAAGTCCCTAAGACAAACTTCAGAGTGTTTCAAAACAGTGCCCACTTGCCACAAAACTATCAATTTAGCAATATCCACTGTATTAAATGTTTTAACTATCATCCCTTTGTACAATTTCGTTAAAAATATCTGACATTCAAAAATGGTTTATATGCAACAGCACTATTTTCTTGTAAAGGAAGGGATACCCAAGGCAAATTATTTATAAATTGTTAAAGGACATTACTTATTCTAAGTCACCACCATGATTTTTAAATACCGATTAGCAAAGATAATTTTATACCATCCCTCCATACAAAAAGATGCCAAAATAAAAACATCAATATTCATACTACAGAGCTAATTATCCGTAATTGAAGGGGTGGTAGATAAATTATATAATGGAATTATGCTGACACTTAAGGTTCATTTTGGGCAGTATGTTAAATACATCTCCTATACTTTCAGTCAAGGCATTTAAAAACCCAGTCTAAAAGTTAAAAGATAGTTGAAAGGCCAAATTATATTCTTTAGGCTACAGGTTTTTGATTTTCCTCAAACTACTACTTTTTAATGTAATTTTACTCCATAATTTCCATGACAATAATTTTTGAAGGGAAAAAAATTCCTGAGGATTTTTTAAACAACTATTGTTTCATAAACTGTTTTGCCAGTAAAAAAAAACGGGGGAATGGGGAGGAAGGAGTGTTTTGGATCAACTAACAGCACTCACTGTACATGTTTTTTAATGAGCAAGTTCTGGGTCCAAAGTAACTGAACATTACACTTTTCTCAATTTTGTTCCCAAGGCAATTCACATTAAACATTACGTTAGTAGGTTCTAACAGTTGCTTTTATAAGCTATTAATATTCTCTATTTTCTCATGTTATATACTTTCAGAAATTAGAACTTGAGCGAGTTAGAATAGACAGTAATACTTAAAACGTTCTAAAGATATTATGATCAGCTCGCACGTGTTGTCTTGTTATGACAAAGGGCGGGCTGGATATATTACATGTTTTTTTCCCCCCTAAAACACAAGACCCAAATTTACGGGGGTGGAGGGGAAGGAATAAAGATAGCTGTAACCTGAGTTTACGTCGTAACAATAGACAGGAAGAGTCATACTAGCCTATTTAGCTACCTAAATATCTGGCATGCAGATAGCAGGCAACGGCCTAATTCAGAAAAGGCAGACACTTCAAAAAATGGCAACCAAACCCTATCCCTAGACCCCGCGGCTTAAAGCAGCCGGCAGGAAAAGGTATTCCTCTTTTCCTCCACCGCCTCGACCCATCGCGTTACGGGGTCAGTATTCGGCTTTAAAATAAAGGAAAGAGCAAAGGCCGGGTCGTCCACCTCCTCAGCGAAAGGAAAGCAGCAATCGAACCCTGAGGTGTAACTGAGAGGCCGGCACCGTCGGAAACTCGGCCCGCGGCCACTGCTCGGTTACTCCCACTGTGTGTGCGCGTTTTGTGTGATGTGCGTCTCCAGTGTGGCGGTAGCGGTTCCTGCATCGCCGCTCCTGGGCCCACCCCGAGTTCGAGCCACCTTTCTGGTGCCCATCTCCCTTCTCCTCGGAACTATGGCCTCCGCTGGGGGCAGGAGGTGACCAAAAGTGGCCGACAATCCCCCGGCAAGGAGGCAATGTGGGCCCGGATCCCAGCGGGCCGCACCGGGCGTGCCCGGGGCTCGTCTGGGCCCAGCACCTGGCCGGTGAATGCCACATCCGCCCATTCTCGCCCCCGCCTACGTCCCCCACCCCGGGGAGCTCAAAGAAAAGCCCAGAGCATCCCACTCAGCCCGCGACGCTGGGGTTGTGTTCACCTCCGGCGGCTCCAACTCGCTGCGGCTTCTCAGGCTTCTCCTCTCCCGCCTTCCCGTCCGCCATCTTCCCTGCCGCGGCCTCCCTGCAGCCACGCCACGGACGTCACGGCCCCGCCCAGTAACCACTGAGTTGAGGAGATGGCGGGCGAGGTGGCAGCCTAGAGCGGCCCCGAAGAGTAAAAAGGCCTTTCGGAAACGGAAGTGGATGTGACATCATTAACGAGACCCCACGGAAGGAAGGGCGGGGAAGGCAGAGTGGGTTCTATGAGAACTGGTTAGGGGCTTTTACTGGAGGTTGATTAGATTTTCATGATCCAGTGGCGGATCCAGAGAAGTGAGGGGAGGTGGGATCATCACTCTGGAAACGGTGGAATCGTGAAAGGTTTCTACAGACTGGAGTGTGGTTGCCGCTGAAGCTAGCAGGCTCTTTCATTTTGGTCTTGCTGAATCGCTTGTGCCTCCCCCCCCCCCAAAAAAAAAGTAGGGCTGTATTATTTTTCCAATTTAAGAGAGAAATTAGCGTTTATTGAGCGCCCTCTTGTGTTAGACTCTGTTTCGTTTAATCCCCACCATAGTCCAATACGGAATTATCCTCTTTTATTTAACTGTGAGAGTTGAGGCCTGAGAGTAATTTGTCCACGATCACGTAGCCAAGTGGTAAAACTACTGTTTTTCTAAAGGCCGCAATTTCTGTATCAAGTTAGGAGAAGTTATTTTATTAAGCGAAGACTTCAGTAATTTCTGCCTTACTTAGAAATCTTATGTGGATCCCCAGGGTTTGCAAAATGAAGTCCAAGTTATATTGCGACCCAGCCTAGTTTTTCAGCCTCATCTTCCTTTTTTCTCTATATTTATACTTCTCTCTTGCCACACAGAGTTGATTCCTTGCCTAGGGAACTGGAGTTTCTGGGTTTGCCTTACAATATACAGTATTACAGAAATTGGTCTTAAGGAATCAGAACTTGGGTTTGAATGCCCTGATCTACCCTTTACTGGCTGAGTAAATCTTGAGGGTTTCTTAACTGTCCACAGACCTATGTTTCCTTCTCTATAAAATAGAAATTTTAATAATAGTACCTCCTCAAGGGCAATCATGGGGGTCAAATGAGATAATTTCTATATACCATTCTTTGGTCACTTTATACTTCCCTCAGTATGTGTTTAAAAAACTTGTCTGCCTAGGTGGCTCAATGGTTTTTGACAAAGGCTTTTCCCCCCAACAGAGACCATTTAAAGATTTTTTTTTCTTCACTGCACTTTGCACTATGCATTTCATATTAAAGGTGGATAGATAACTCCTCAGGGCCCAAGTCTGGAGAATGGAGAAAGAATCAAAGTATGTTTCCCATGACAGAAGCAGGGGGGGTTTGATGGTGATGTGTTGCTTTGATGATTCGATGTTCCTGTTGTACCATTTATGACAGTGTACGTAAATGTGCCCAGCAAAATATGTATATATTTTTAAAAGATTTTATTGGGAAATTGGGGGAGGGGAACAGTGTTAGGGAATTGGGGAAGGGGAACAGACAAGTTGCTGTCCTTTTGTTCTTCAGTCTAGTTGGGGAGGATGTTGCTTCACTGGCCCATGTTGGTATTATCATTGCGCTCTTCCCCGGTGAGGCAGATCGGTCGCTGGCCATTGGACAGCCGCTCACAGTGGCTCACGGCAGCTCATGAAAGTTCAGACCCGCTGCTGGCCAGCCCCACTGCAGCCTATGCTGTTGCCGGCAACTCACAGCAGCCGAGCTCCAGGCTGAGCTGTTCACCATCTTAGCTGTAGAGGGCGCAGCGTCACTGGCCCTCATGTGAGATCCAAACTGGAGCCCTGTTGCTCAGAGCTGGCGTCCCAAGCCAACTCCTAACCAACGTGCCCCTTGGCCAGCCCTCAGCAAAATATTTTACATAGAGCAGGTAATTATTTTATATTTGTTTTATTTTTCCCAGATGTGATCTTTACAAATTAATCACTGAGACTCACTTTTATCATTTATTTATTAAAGAGACATACACATGAGATTTTTATGTGAAATTTTGTATGTATTTACTTATAAATGTCTGTATTCTTAAATGAGGAAAATTAAGTTCAGAGAGGGTCATATACGGCTATCTAGGAGCAGATTTAGTTCCATATGCCACAATGTAGAAGTTAAGGATAGAAGATAATAATCTATTCACCTGTCAGTTCCATGAAATCACATCTTACTTACCATTGTTTCCCCAGAATCTAGATTATACTAGTTTCAGTAAATATTCATTGAAGAAATCAATGCAAGTTTCAGTAACCCCCAACAATGGGTTAGGGAATGAAAAGGCAGTATACTGCAAGGCAAAGAGCAGTAGCATTCCCTTAGAACTGAATATAAATTCTAACTCTGCCATTTGCTAATCCTGTGCATTTGAACTGATAAAGCAATCTTACTGATCATGTTTTAACTATAAAAATGTAATTATACTTATAGTGTTCCTGAGAGGATTAAGTGAGATAATACAGGTAAAATTTGTAACGTAGTGCTTGGTTCATCGTTGGTGGTTGCTTAATGGTAGCTATTGTTTATAATCTCTAAAGAGCTATTCTAGTAATGGTTTAAACAGCTGGAAATAGCAGGTAATATGGACAGTTATTTTAATTTGAATGTGTAATTTGTGAGGTGACAGCTATAATAGACAACATTTATTCATGCTTACTATATGACAAGCATAGTTTGCAAGTTTAACATGAAATCAAGTACAGTAAATCAGCACAACCTTATGAATTAAGTGCTACTATTTCTCTAATTTTTATGGAGGATGATACTGGGATGCTGAAAAGGTAAGAGGTGGAGCTGAACTTGGAATTCAGGCAGAGAGCTACAAACTCAGAAAGGAAAAGTAATCATAGTTTCACTAACCTTGAGCAGGTTCTTAATGCAGCCTTATAATCCTATTGTATTTCCCGGTACCACTCTCAAATTTCAGTGTATATCAGAACCACTTGAAAGGCCTTTTAAAACACAGTTAAAACTCTGGTACCACAGACAATTTTTGATTCAGTAGCCTTAGTGGGTAGGAGCCCCTAAATTTGTATTTCTAATTAGTTCCCAAACGATGCTGCTGCTGCTCTGGGGATCACACTTTGAGAACACTAGCCCTAATTCATTGACTTTTCTAGACTATTTCATACTTTCTCTGCTATCTGCCCCCTCAACTGATGACTTTGCTTATTTTCACTGAGAAAATAATAGAAATCAAAACAGAACTTCTGTATATTCTCACCGTAATCTGTGGTGTGGCACCTGCATTTGTACTTACACTTTCTGTCTTGTGTTACTTATGTAGTAGATCCCATCCTTTGCTTACACAGTCATCACTCCTCTCACTCCCCTGTTTCATCAGATTTGCTCCCCTACTACTGGGCCATTCCCAACAGCATACATACATGGTTTTATATCTTCCATTTTTACAAAATAAATAATAACAACATACAAAAAAGACTCTTCTCTTGATCTCATATCTCCCTCTAGCTCCTCATTCATTACTTTTTCCCTTCATATAGAAACACTTTGAAAGGATTGTTTATACTCACTGTCTCCAATATCTCTGGTATTTGGTAACTACTCTGCTACCATCTGGTTTAACCCACTATTATCTTTCACCTTTGTTATTTGCAACAGCCTTTTTTTTTTTTTTGTGGAGGGCAGTGTCACCGGACCTCATATGTGGGATCCGAACCGGGGCCCTCTGGTGTCCCAAGCCAGTTCTTAACCATCGCGCCACTCGGCCGGCCCTGCAACAGCCTTTTAACTGGTTCCTCTCATAATCTAGTCTCCACAGCAGCCAAAGTGATCCTTTTAAAAGGAATCCGATTCATTCTCTCAACAAAATTTTAAGTGCTTGTTATGTTCCAGGCACTGTCCAGGCCTTGGGGACACAGCAGTGAATAAGACCAAAAAAATCCCTGCCCTCATGGAATTTACAATCTAGTTATCCTATTAAATCATCAGGAACATGTCACTTTGCTCAAGACCATCCGATCTTCCCATCTCATTCAGAGAAAAAATCAAAGTTCTTACAACGGTCTTAAAAGCCTTACATGATAGACCTCTAGCTACCACTCTGACCTCATCCTCAGCTCTCTTCCTACTTGGCATCAGTCACACTAACATCTTATACTTTGTACTAACTTGTACTTTGAACCCTATCTCAGGGCCTTTGCATTCATTGGTCCCTTTACTTGGAACTTCCTTCCCTCATCTCTCCATAGCTTGCTTGCTCTTACTTCAGGTCCCTGTTCAAATATCAAATCTCATTAGTCTTTGTGCAAATTAGAAAAGCAGTGCTCTCATTAAATGCAATTTTTTAAAGCTCATTGTTCAAAGGCAGACAATGCCTTTGTATGAAAAAAATTATGCTTCTTCCTTCTAGCCAACATGGCCCTGTTCCTGAGTGCCAGAGTGCATGGCTTGGTGAGGGTGGTTTTATGCAGTCAACAACCTGCTTAGAATACATTCCCCAACCACCTTTTATAAAATAGTAATGCCTCTCCATTCCAGCATTCCCCTTTCTCCCTTAATCTTCATATCACTTATTAACTATATGAGATTTTACACATATGTCTTTTCTCTGCCTAGAATTTAATATCCATGAAGCCTGAGAATACTTTGTTCACTGCTATATCACCAACTAAAACACTTCTGGGCATATACCAGGTTCTCAGTAAATATTTGCTGAATGAATGAATGAGACAATGTGGAAGATAAACTGCTAGACTTTGAAAAAGAAAACAATTTTTGTGACATGGAAATCAAGGGAGAAGTATTTTAAGGAGGGAAGTGTTCAGTAGATATGCCATGGAAATGGCCACTGAATCTGGCTGGAAATGATATAAGCACAAAACAGATACCAGTGGTATCAAGCAGTACTCTAGAGCTAGCTGCACTGTTCAGCGGCAGCCACTAGCTACATGGACCTAATAAGCACTGTAAATGTGGTTGGTGCATCTGGAGAACTGACTTTTAATGTTAATCTTTTAAAAACTGAAGCAATTAGCTTCATAATAAACACAACTCTGTTGTTTTGGTAGGACTGCATTTTACTTTAACCATTGAAAATTTAGCATTCATATTAAGATGTGCTGTAACCACTAAAATACCAGATTTTGAAGGCTTAGTATGAAAAAATGAATACGAATGTAAAATTTCATTAGCTTTTATACTGCCAACATAAGAATTTCCAACCCTGGATAGAATTTTCATAAAAATGTATTTGAGTCAAATAGAAAATACACCTGGAAGCAAGATCTCAACAAAGTGAGAAAATTGTTTCTGGAGAATGACATTTTGTAGCTTATTTTATGAATTTGAAATTAAGGAGGGAACGTTAAGAGAGGTTACATGAAGGTGGGAGAAAGCAAGGTGGGTATTGGATTACGGGATAGTTAACAAGATTATGTGCTCCCTTGATGGTGGTTACTTTGAAAAAGAGGCATTTCAAAGGTGTGTTAACCTAGATGCAGATACAATGGACTGGGCTTGCTTAAGGCAATGATGAATCTTTTACTAAAGAACTTATATACCTGGGTCATTACCACCCACCATGACCTGCCCAGTTAGGAGTTTATGATCAGATCACCCTGTGAGGGTACTTTCCCTAGAACCCCTCCTTCATCCACAATTACTGATTACAAATTGAAATAATAGTGCGGGCACATGGGTAAGTAAAAGATACTAAGATTAATTTTACCTGTTCACTTATTTTTAATGTGGCTGCTGGGAATTTTAAAAGTACATATGTGGTTTGCATTATATTTCTATTTAACAGTAATGGTGTAGAGGAAATGGAAACAGCGCATTTTAAATAGTTGCTTGAAGAATCTGGCTTAGAGATAAAAAGTTAAACTGGGTAATATGGTAGGGATAATAGTAGCAAGTAGAGACTTTTAAAATTGTTTTAATTATTAAAAGCCAAGGAGTTGGTAGCATGTTTGAAAAGAGCAAAAGGAGGTAACTAGAAATGGCATTTCATGAAAACATGTCTCTAATAGGTAAGAAAGGAAGACAGAACATAGCCAACAAAAGTTGCCTTCAGAGGAAGAATACTGTAGAATCAACTATTGGGTGTTAGTGATAGAAAAGCCATTGCTTCCTACTTCGTGTGTGGGAATCAGACCATCTAGTTTGGAGAAATTGAAGCAGCATCTGAGATTCTGCTATGTTGCAATTTCTAAAAAATTAAAATCAGTATGAGTTCAAAGTGGATGAGCTTGTTATTGGGATTTAGCTACATAAGAGAAGCGGTCTTAGAAAAGTTACTGCTTGTCTATTTGAAAGGCAAATGTTTTTTTTTTTTAATTCTAGAGTTGTATTACTACCTTAGCATATTGTTATACAGAAATAAGAATGTACTCCTTAAAGGGACACAATAACTTGGCATATACTAGTATTACACATTCCAATGACATTCCATTCCATTTTGAATGTATAGTCTGAATTGGTTAATATTTACTTAACACTTATGTGCCAGACATCATATTAAATGTTTTATTATGAGTCAAGGACTATTTCAGATCTCCTTGAAATTAACAAATTTCAAGAGATTAACAAAATTCAAGTTTAAGCAATGTAACAAATTTCAAGAGATTAAGCCAGGAAGGGTGGAGCTGGAACCCAGGGAGCAAGGCTGGGAGTTGGGAGACCTCCGCCCTAGGAACATTGTTTGCCTCACTCTAGTGAGGGTCCTTCCAGGCAATCTTACCTCTTGTTCTTTAGCCACTATGCTGTGTTATCTTCAGTGTGTCTCAAGTGGTTCAAGTATTAGCACCTTGCCACTTTAGTTGGGTGTTAACAGTTGAAATTTATTCATATCACACTAAGTTTATACACCACTTCCTCAAGGACTTTCCCTGATACCAAAAGTTTGGGTTAGGCATCTCTTGTTTTTTCATTTCATTTTATATTGCCTTATTATAGAGGGCATAATTTGTAGGTTAAAAACTGGGACTTTAAAGTCAGACAAGTCTTTTGAATTTTGAGATATTTTAGGGTTGAGTAATTTTGAGTAAATTTTCCTTTCCTGTAAAAAAGGTATTAATGATAGTACTTTTAACCTAGTTGTTTAAACAATTCATGTAAACTGCATTCTGTTTGGCACAAGTATTTAGTATTTGGTAAAAGTTAGTTCCTGCTCTAAGAAATGTATTGGTGGGCTGGTCGAGTGGCTCGTTGGTTAAGAGTTGGCTTGGGAGCGTGAGTTCTGAGCAGCAGTGCTGCTGGTTTGGATCCCACATGAGTTGCCGGCAACAGTATAGGCTGCAGTGGGGCTGCAGTGGCCAGTGACCTATCTGCCTCAGCGAGGAAGAGCGCAATGATCACAATACCAACGTGGCCCAGTGAAGCGACGTCCTCCACTAGACTGAAGAACAAAAGGAAAAGCAACTTGTCTGTTCCCCAACTCCCCAATAAAATCTTAAAAAACAAAAATGTATTGGTTAGCATATTTTATGCTAATTTCCAATTCAGAAACTAGGTAGAAATATTAGATAGTCGGAAAAGTCATGATGCATTTTTGCAATGAAAAACATAGAAGAAATACGTCATGACTTTTCTGACAATCCAATATTTGGCCACAGATCTCTATTTCCCATTAAGACAGGTTATTTAGTGTAACAATTAGGCAGTTAGGAATTCCCTGGTAGAATGAACAAAAGAAAAACATATCTCCAAGGCCTCTGCCCTCAGCCCTGACCCCAAAAGCACAGCCTTGAGACAATTTACTCCTACCAGACCAGGGATATCAATTACACCGAGGCAACTAAAACTATCTGAAAAAGCCTCCTCCAGGCTGAAACGGCCAAAATAAATCTAACCTGTTCAAGCAGGTGCCAGCTTTCTCCTCAGATAGGCTAGTAAAAGCATATAAACAGAAGCCTTCCCCCCTAGTTGGGGGGCATTCCAACTTTTCGGGTGCCCCTCTCTTTTAGAGAGCTGTATCTTTTTGCTCTAATAAACTGTTCTTTTCTGCAAACTTTACATCTCTGGTCTGTATCTTCATTCTTAGGTGCTGCGAGACCACGATCCTGGCCACTCAAAAACAACATCCTGCATCACCATGTTTTCAAAAATTTTAATGGTGCAGGCAATCTACAATGAATATGGTTCCTAAAAGTTCATTTCTTAGGAAATAAGTACATATTTTCTCAAATATATTAGGACTCATTAGGTAGCAAGTGGCAGAAACCCGAACTCGTTTAGGCAAAGGGGAATTTATTAGCGGGATACTGCATGAGGTTTGTATAACCAATAAATGCTATCTATAGCTAGACCTCAGAGACAACTAGAAGCAGGGATTTGAACAGCTCCAGAAATTGGTCTTATTTCTGTAGGTAAGCTTCACTCTCCTACTGTAGTCTGGCTCCTTCATAAAAGACATGGCCACTATCAATTCCAGAGCTACTTGTCAAAGTCTACCATCAGAAAGGAACTAACACAGGTTATCTTCATTCTCAAGCCCAAAATTCCTGGAAAAGGGTTCTGACTGCCCTATCTTAAAGTCAGATGCCCATCTCTAAATTTGTGTGAGGTGTCTCCTTTTGGATAATCAGCTGTGGCCAAGGGAGCAAGGTCTGTAAAAATATGGCAGCTTCCATTCAAATCATGACTGGAGAAACGGAGCTATTTCCTAGAAAAGGAAAACCATCTATACTGTAATTGGGAAGTGCCATATGTAACACTCATCAAATAAACCCTTTTTTTTCCAAGAGGACAAGAAATGAGTTTTATCCCCCCACACCCATTTTTCATTATAAGCCAAATCCCATGACATGCCAAGGGATTATCTTAATATTTTGTTTAATAAAGATTCTGTTAAGCAATATACTTGAGTGCCTACGAAATCCCCAGCACTGTATCAAATGTTACTTTAATAAGTGAACCACCACCTGAAGTTTAGAAATCTTTATATCAATTTTTGATGAAAGGATAGTTGTTGACATGGCTAAAAGAACATTTAAGAAGGAAAATGGAATCTAAGACTCCCAAGTATTCATAAAAATGCCACACCAATGATACAACAGTTTTACTGGGCTCAACAAACTTGGACAACATTTACTTTCTAAGATTAAGTTTCTTTTTATAATAAACAAAATATATTTCCAAAGTTTTGCAGATGTTAATTGGGGAAAGATAAAATACTTCATTCATTTAGTTTGGAAAGACAACCTTTAAAAGAAAGAGCAAGTGAATTCCACTCAGGAAGAAAGGGACTAATAGAACTGTATTTCCAATCCATTTAGTTTTTAAGCGATCAAATATTCTCATTCAGGTCACTTTTTCTGTGTGCGTATATTTAGAGAGCCTTTTGGAAATGAATTAAAAGTCTTTAACTTCTTCACTCTGTTGACAAACTCTTGAGAATACTGAGAAATCTCCAGATAACCAGTATGTTTTCTCTTAGGAACAAATTTCAAGGCCTCTTCCCAACTACCAGTGTTTTTCAGACATAACAAAATACGTATCATTTGATCTAAGGTGAGATTTTTTGTACCAGCGTCCCACTGTAAATATTTATCTAATGGAAGGCATTCTGTTGCCAGATTCAGCCGTTTTGCCTTGGCTAGGGATGCGCCTGGCTGCAGATTCTTATCAACAAAAGATCCCACTATATAAATTTTGTCATGCTTGAAAGTAGTCATAACATTAGGAGAATCTGCAGTTAAATATATAATACTGTCCTTTGGAAATAAATCTATGTGAGACTTTTCTGTTGCTGTTAAAAGCAATTTGTTCCATTTTTCTCCATAACGTTTAATTAACTCTCTATAAAAAGGGCCATCTATTTTAAGATTGCAGAAATAAATATGGAAAGGATCAACATCCCTTCTGTTCCATCCTTCACTTTCTAAGAGCTGGGAAACAGTACTCTGCAGTTCTTGTGGTTTCATACAATTATCATAAGCCATGTCAAAAACCAAAGGTTGTCCAAACTGCATGGCCTGGGCACCCCTCCAGCCCATTGCTATGTCCATATTCCTATCCCAAAGTCGTAGAAACATAAAGTCTTGCTGTTTATCTTCCTTAGTGGTTTCTAGCAGCTGGTCTTTTTTTGCTTTTTCCTTTGCTGCTGCTTTTATTTCCTTTTTTATTTGCTTAGCTTTTTTCATTTTTTCCTTAACATATAAATATTTTAAATATTTTTTTTTCGACGATTTAGAAGCACATTCCATAATGGTTTTGAGCTCTTCTTCACTGATGTGTTCTGGTACTTCTCTGCCAAGCAATCTCCACATCTCAATTAACTCCCTGGTGGCAGCTACAGGATCTTCATCCTTGGTACTTGAGACTGTTGAAACACTTTCTTGCACACTAGATTTCATTGTAATTTTCCACCCATCCAATTCCAGCTGTTTAGGAGGTGATGTACTCTCCTTATTAGGACAGGACACAGCAGGTATTTTGGAAGACATGTATCTCGGCAGAATTGTTGAATATAAAACCCGTCTCTTCCTGTTAAGGGTAAATGGTACCAAAACTCTGGTAAAAGGTCTTACAAAGGTGATACTAACACTCATTTTGATGAAAACAGGCATGTAAGAAAACCCCTATAAAAGAAAAATGTAATAAAAAGTTAGATAAAGATTTTAAAAACCTCTCAACTGTGCAAGTACAAATTTGAGATATCAAAATGTAATCGATTTCTGAAACACAAAGTGTAATCTTAATACAACTTCATTTGCTGCATCATTAATTTTTCCTAGACTTCTGTGGCCTAGAGACTATAATGACTCACTAGGCAAAAAGTTTAAAACTTATTTGGGTTCTTATTTTAGACATGAATTTCACTATTGCTTTAGGCAATAGGATATCTTGAAGATCCGTTTTAGATTTGAATCAAGGGGCCCAGAAAATCAATGATACTAGATAACAAAGTTACATACCATGATGTGGCTAAGGTCATGAGGCTGTATTCTTCTCCATTCTACACTATCCCAGATACAGACCCAAACATAAGATCCTTAATGTAAGCAATACATGAATACAAAGGGCTGAAAAGTTACAGAATATGGCAACTAGTAAAAAGCACTTAGGAGCTGCTATACCAATGCCTTTATATGTTTTCAAAACAGAAATACAGAGAGATCTACTGATTTTAAAACAAAACACAATTAAAAAAACCTTCTTTCTCCAGTTCAGACTTTATTTTGTAGCAAATAATGTTACTGCTAAACAAAATGTCGAATATATGTATATTCCACAATTTTATCCTAAAGGTCCGGATGTCCACAAACCAGATGCTTAAAGATGTGAAACTAGTGCTGGATTTGAAGGAAAAAAAGAAATTCAACTTTTCACAAAATGCAGCTAAAATATTTGAAAAAAACAAATTGCTTCTTCCCTTTGCTTCTTTTAATGACTCTGCATGCTTCTAGGTCTCCTGCCTCTCTGACCTGTGCACTGATGCTTAGATTTGCTCCCACTCTTTTGAAAGGCAGATGTGCCTTGGAGTTCTGCTCTGAACCCTTTTTTCAACCTAAACGTTTCCCCTGTGAGGTTGGATTTACCTCAGTAGCTTCAATCACCATGAACCAGAAGACCCCTTGAATACAACTATCAAAATAATCTCTCTCCCTTCCCTTCCTAATCTACTTCTCCCTCTGAGTTGTTTCAGGGAGAGACACTGCTATCCATCCATGTGCTGAAACCAGAGGAGTCATTTCATTATTGTCCTCTCTCACACCCACCATACCTAATCCATTTGTTATATTCACTTTACTTTCTAAATACTTCTTGAATCCATTCACTTCTCTTCAACCCCATTTTCTTATTTGCATGTCCTAGCCTCTAGATTTGCTTTCCCTTATCTCTAAGGGAGATGACATTTGGAGGTAGGGCAAATCTGATAATGCACTGGTATCATCCCCAATGTGTATTTTTCTAAGCCCACTGCTGCCAGGTTAAAGTCTAATCTTATAAATGTGGCTTATAAAGTTTTTCACAAAATCACCCTTTGCTAACCTCTTCAGTCACACCTGTAGCTATTTTTTTCACCTCAAACTTTAGATCTAGTATTCCTCCTATTGGTTCTTACAGCACCCTGTATCTCTCTATCATAGTACTTGTAACACTGCATTCTAATTGTCTAGTTACTTTTTTGCCACACTAGGTGGTAAACTCTATCAGAACAAGGACTATGTTTATATTAACACTGAACCCAGTGCTTGGCCGTATATGGCTCTCAGTAATCACCCAAGTATTTTTCGAATAAATACCCTGGGTCAATTTAAAACATGTTCACACACCCTTTAAAGAAAAAAAATACTTTACTTTGGATTTCCTGGAATGTTTAACCAGGAGTCCTCAGTCCCATTATGAGAACCACTGATTTCAGGACGAAAGTTTTCTCTCTGTGACTGGTCAAGATTTTTAGGGTAGCATAGAAATGAAAACCCAAAATGTAAAAAAGCGAATAAGGATATATTTTAGGGAACACTGCTCTTGTTCCAGGTATTGTACTACTTATAGTTGCCGTAAGTCACTGGGCTTCCTCTTACGAGGGCCTTCTTAACGCACATGCTCCACTAAGTCTCTTAGAAGTCTTCCTTCTCTTCCCACCTCAACACACACACTGGGAGACAAGAAACGCCCATACCAGGATTGCAGAGACAGTGGCTCCCTCGGGTGCAAACCGCAGGGACCCCGAGAAGACGCAGGACACTGCTGTGAAATGCAGCCCAGAGATCGGTGCCACGCCTGACGCACCGCTCGCCTATCCGTCAACACGGTAACGGTCACTGACCGGAGACCCGCAGCCGGAAATCCCGCCCTCTCCTCCCGTCGCTGTCATATGACGTCACAACACAGGCGAAAGCTTTATGGCCTGGAAAGCAGCACTGTTGGGCAGCAGGCTGGTTGCCCTACCCTGGGCAGTTGCCAACTGCCCATCAATCCAGATGGGCTGTCTAGCTGGGGTTTTTTTTGTTTTGTTTTTTTCTGTTCTCCCATTATTTAAAGCTCTTTGTAGTCCTCTTAACTTACACTCACTCTGCTTGGTCCCTTTATTTATAAGCATTTACATAGTACTAAAATAAAATGTTTTCACAAATCTCACTCAGCTTTAAACTCCTGGATGCTAGGACTTTAACTTATTAAACTTTTGACCAGTTTATCACCAGTACCTGGTACAATGCTTGGAGCTTGACAGGCAGTACTGAATATTTCTCACTCCCGTTAGCTCATTTGGAAAATTTAATGTGAAAGTGAAGTTAAAGCACGTACTGCAAATTTGTGGCCTTTGGGACAAAATACAGTGTAGGTGTTTTGTTTAGCCAGCACAATATTTTAAAGTGTTTTGGTTTAAAAATCGCCCTTCTAGTTGCTAGATCAGATGCTGCTGGATTCATTAATCGCTTAATAAAGCCAATTAGATCTTAAAAAAAAAAGTGTTTGATTTAGTTGTGTGGATGAAAAAGGGGCCACAGATTAAACCTAACAATCTCAGGAGACTGAAAATAACCACATAAGATGGCCTGAACATAAAAACTCCTAAAAACTCCTAAATAAAAGCGAGTCATGGCGAGTAGTCACATCCTTGGCCTGTAGCTTCCTTGACAAAGGTCAATCTTTACCTTAAGTGAGCCTATTTTTTGTCTTTTTGCATCTAAGATAACATACATTTGGACTGTCCCTTTTTATGGACACCCACCCCCCAAGGGGTGCACAACCCAATACACAAGAACAGGAATCTACAAAATCCCTCACTGTTACCTTGTTCCCCAAATACTATCTCTATGTGCTGTAAAATGCTGTTAACTATCTTGTACCCACCAATGTAATAGAAGTGTGTGATTGTCACCTCGAGGGGTAAAAAGTATAACTATTGCACTGTGTTGTACAGCTGAAACTAATTCTAAAAAATGTGTATTTCACAATAAAAATAATTTAAAAAAAAGTGTGTCTCTTCAGTTTACTTTTTATCCAATCCCAGAGATTTCCCCACTTTGCTTTCTCCCACTCCCTTAATCTACAACCAATGGATTTCATGTAACCCTTCTCCTTTGATTCTAATGTATAAAATAAATTGCAAAATGGCCATTTTCCGGAGCATTTTCTCAACCCATTGAGACTTCATTTCCTGGCGATTGTCGTCAGTTTGGCTCAAATAAACTGTTATAAGCTTTTTCTTAGGCTAGAATTTTTTTTGTTGACTGTTGTCATTATTAAAACATACAGCACAACATCATTCATTGGGGAAAGGATATTCTATTCAAGGAATGGTGCTGAACAAGTTAGACCCTTAACCTAAAACCATATAGAAAAATTAACTCAAAATGGATCAAAAACTTGAATGTAAGAATGACAACTATAGGGCCAGCTAAGTGGCTCAGATGGTTAAGAGCGCGAGCTCTAAGCAACAGGGTTGCCGGTTCGATTCCCACATGGGCCAGTGATGCTGCGCCCAAGCTGAGCCGCCGCTGAGCTGCCAATAGGTGGCAGGATGGCTCAGCTGGTGAGAGCACGTGCTCCTAACAACAAGGTTGCTGGTTCGACTCCCACTTGGGATGGTGGGCTGCACCCACCCTCAACTAAGATTGAACATGGCACCTTGAGCTGAGTGGCTGCAAGCTGCCGATGGGCTGCCAGATGGCTACTGGACTTGGAGCTGAGCTAGCTGCGCCCTCCACAACGAAGATTGAAGGACAACAACTTGGCTGTTTTCCTTCCCCAATTCCTCAACATTGTTCCCCTTCTCCAATTCCCCAATAAAATCTTAAAAAAAGAATGATAACTATAAAACTCTTAGAAGGAAACATAGGGGGAAATGTCATGACATTGGATTTGGCAACAATTTCTTAGATATGACCCCAAAAGCACAGTTAACAAAAGAAAAAATAGACATTTTGGATTTCACACAAACTGAAAACTTTGTACACCAAAGGACAATATCAACAGAATAAAAAGGGAACTACAAATCATATATCTGATAAGGAATTAATATCCTGAATAAATAAAGAACTCCAAATCAACAACAAAAAAAATCAAACAACCCAATTCAAAAGTGGGCAAAGAACTTGAGTAGACATTTCTCCAAAAAAAAATAAAAATCCAAATGGCCAATAAGCACATGAAAAGATGTTCAACATCAGTAATTATTAGAGAAGTGCAAATCAAACCTATAATGACATACCCCCTTATACTCGTTCATCCCTATTGTGGACAAAAAAGTGGTTCTGTAATAAAACTGGCAAGTACAGTGATGAAAAGTAACCTCATAGGATGATCTGATCATAAATTCCTAACTGGGCAGGTCTTTGTGGGTAGTCATGACCCAGACATATGACATTTTTAGTAAAAAGCTTATCTTTGCCTTAAGGAAGCCCTGTCCATTGTTCTTAAGTATCTAGGTTAATACACCTTTGAAATGCCAGAGTAATCTTTTTCAGACCTCTCAGAATTGTAACCATCCTCAAGGGAACACATAATCTTGTTAACTAGCCTGCAATCCAATCCCCACCTGGCTTTCTCCCACCTTCATGTAACCTTTTACATTCCCTCCTTAATTCCAAATGCATAAAAAACTGCAAACTATCAATCATTCTAGGAG